CCATCAGAACAAGATCTTCCTTTTCCTTTGTGCTATCCAAAAAGCCTTCTTTCCCAGGTTTCTTTATCCACCAGACTCCTTCCTTGGCCTCTGAATTTTGCACAACTTTTCCATTTCCTCTTCTCTGTTCCTTTTCCTGCAGGAGATGTTGAAGAGCCCAGGTCACAGGCACAGATCAGGAACCGAGAAGCCCACCCTGGCTGAGGCCTGTGTGTTCATCACCTGGGAAAGGGACAGAGGGAGCCAGGACAGGTGGGCACCGTCCCTGCCACCTCCATCAGAGTCAGCGAGGCACGAGTGTGTCAGGACAGTCCCACCAGGAAACAAGTACAGAGCCTTCTCTTCTCCCTGCCAGGAGCCGGTGATCCAAGCCCTAACTTGGCTCCCTGCGCAGAGCCCAGAAGACAGGGCTTAGCTATGCAGGGAGCTGCCAGGGGGCCAGGAGCTAAGACATGGAGGGGATACAGGGAAGGTGTGACTGGGAGCCCCAGGGAGAGGAAGTTCTGAGGCAGGCCTGGTTGGATGGGATTAATGTGGGCACCCCACCCTCTACTGGGTGGCTTCCAGGAGGCTCAGGGCCTGTTCCTGGGCAGGGCCTAGCCAGGACATGTAAGACTCCAGAGCCATGACGTTCTCAGGACCACCCTGCCTCACCCATTGTGTGGATCCTGCCCTGTCTAAGTGGCAGACACTGGTGCCTGAGGTGGTTAGGAGGTGGGAAGAGTCTGAAGGCATCAAAGGAAGCCCAACTATCTCCCCAGGCTTCCTTATGTTGTGTAAAAAATACATGAAATAATATACTAAAGTGCTAAGACCAAGAGTAAGGGCTCAATAAATGTTAGCCATCAGCACTTAGTGCCTGGCACAAAATGAGCACTAAATAGTTGTTGAATTAATATATGAATGAATGAAGGAATCCTGCTCCCACTTAGCTCCTCCACCCCAAACACCAGAAGATATAAGTCAATACTGTCTCCGTAACTACTGGGGAAGATACATATTAAGCCCATTCTAACCCCAGAGCCTTTGCACTTGCTATTTCCTCTGTCAGGAGTGACTTTCCTCATATCCTCACCTGAGGGTTCCCTCCCTCACTTGATATATCTCTGCCACTGGAAATGAGAAAGGGCCCTGACCTCTGTTTGCTAATAGAGCTCTTAAAGTTGTTTCTACTTTCCCAGTCAAGGCCCCTCGCCAAGTATGTACAGACACACACACACACACAAATCCAGGCAGTTCTAACTAGACTACTGCAGAGTCCCCATCCTACCCAGGGTTAGGACTAGAGCTGGCACGGGCTCTGGCCTGGCAGGTGCCCCCCCCCCCCATATGCAGATGGCCAGCAGCGTCCATGCACAACAAGAGCTCACACAACCCACAGCAGAGGTTCTGCTCTGTTCCCAACCAGCCTTGGCAAGAGCCACGGTCTATGCAAACAGTAGAGTCCACTGGACCATAATTTAAAATCCTAGCTCTATCACTTAAGGAAAACAACTTTTACTGAGCCCTTACTATTTGCCAGCCACTGTGCTACGCTCCCTACATACTTGAGCTCATCTAACCTTCACAACAATTAAGCAAGGTGGGTGTGGTCCTTATTGTAGACATGACTGAAGCAGAACAAACTAAGTGCTCAGACTATAGAATGAAAAAGAACTGGGTTCAAATCTGAGCTCCTTCCCTCGTGGTGTGACCTTGGGCAAGTCACTGCAGCTCTCTGAGTCTCTGCTTCCTCCTCAGTAATGTGGAGATAAGACAGTCACTGCCTTTGATCCTGCTGACGATCAAAGGAGATAATGGATAAAAGTGCATGCAGCCTTCAATCAAGGCCAGGGCCCTGCCCTTCCCGCCTTATCTCACTGGCTTCCCTGCCAAGGTTTGCAGGCTGGGACTGGCCTTCCCTGTGGTGCCAGGCACAGGGCTGGGCACCACCAGCACACACAGACTATTCCTGCTAATGAGCAGATTTTCCCAAGGCCGTGATTGCAGAGAGCGGGCCCTGCCCCAAAGCAGCCAACCCTGCCCTGGACAGCACCAGGAGGAGCACTTCTGGAAGGAGGCTCCTTCCTGCCTCTCAGCTTCTGCCTCATTTTATGTTTTCTTTTAAACTTTTTATTTTGTACTGGGGCATAGCAGATTAACAAACAATGTTGTGATAGTTTCAAGAGAACAGCGAAGGGACTCAGCCATAAATATACATGTGTCCATTGGCCCCCAAACTCCCCTCCCATCCAGGCTGCCACATAACATGGAGCAGAATTCCCTGTGCTATACAGTCCTTGTTGGTTATTCATTTTAAATATAGCAGTGTGTGCATGTCCATCCCAAACTCCCTAACTATTCCTTCCCTCCATCCTTTTCCCGGGCCACCATAAGTTCATTCTCTAAATCTGTGAGTCTCTTTCTGTCTTGTAACTTTATTTGTCACATTTCTTTTTAGATTCCCATATTAGGGATGTCATAGTATATTTCTCCTTCTCTGACTTACTTCACTCAGGAGTAAGTGAAGACAATCTCTATGTCCATCCAGGTTGCTGCAAATGGCATGATTTCATTCTTCTTAATGATCTCTGCCTTGTTTTAGAAGCCCTCACCAGGTTAGACCAGGTGTCCTAATCTGAACCCCACACCCATTTCCTAGGGCTCCTAGAGTGTGAGTTCCTACCCAGAAAGTCTGACTGATCCCTTGGCTTATCTAGGACCATGGCCACCTAGAGGCCCACCAGTCACCCACCCCAGTGCCTGGCACTCTAACTCTGCCCCAGCCCCTCAGTTGGATCCTGCCTTAAGCTGACAAACAGCCCCCACTCACACCAGCTGCCCAAACCACCCATTCCAGAATCCCAAGGCTCCAGTCTACTTATTCAGACCCCAGGCTGCCATCCACCTCTCCCCAGATGTCACTTTCACTTCATCCAACAGCCCCTCCATGCAGGCACATTCAGAACCTGCACCCGGTCCACACTAACCCATGCCCTCTACAGGGCCCCAAAGCCTGGCAGAAAAATCACCAAGACACTTTGACATTAATCAAAGACACTCATAAATAAATATGTGTAAATCAAATGCAAACCAAGGTAGCAATTTACATCTTTCACTGCTGAGTCAGCATCTCCAGACACAGGAGAGGCTGCCTGCAACTCAGGAGGTTTGGGACAAGAGCCCTCCCATCTAGGGGTCCACTGAACAACTCTAGATGTATCATCTGAGATTCTCGAACTTTCAAGCTGGAAGCATCAACCCCCATTTATTGATTGCCTACTACATGCCAGGCATTCTACATACTATAGGCATTCAACGAGATAACATGCACAGTACTTAGAATGGTACCTGGCACCTATCTAGCAAGCACCCAATGTACATGGGCTATTATTAATGTTAATAGAAACTGTTATTTCTCAGTTTTTTCATTTGTAAAATGAGAATTAGAGTTGCACCTGATTCAGAGTGCTTTGGTCAGGATGCAAGGCGGAAACCCAGGCAGAAGCACTGCACAGGGTAGCACTCAATAAATCTCAGCAATTTTATTAAAGACTGTGTGTCCATGCAAACAAGTTCTGGAAAGATATAGCCTTGAGGAGTGGTTAACAGAGGGGAGGCAGAGGGATGAACAGAGGCCCTCCACTTTCTCTTTCGTATGTTTCTGAGGCCAAGAATTTTGACAAATGAGTTTGTATGGCTTTCACCAGCAGTAGGAACAAGAAAGCTGCTTCTATTTGGTGGAATAAAAGCCACCAAGCCAGAGACCCTGTCCTGGGAGCACCCACTTCTTAGCCACCTCCTCACGGTTCTGCATGCCTCCCTACTCAGCCTCTGTCCCCAGACACTCTCCTCCAAAAATGGTCAGGGAGAGCAGTCTGCTCTGGGCACAGTGTTTATGGTAACAGCACTTTATATGACTTTCCCTCTCTGGCAGGATCAGTAAGCCCAGGAACTCTGAAACTTCCCCAGCAAGCTACGCCAGGTCTGCCTGGACTTAGATGGGGTCCCATCCCCAGAGCCCTCAGACAGGTCACTAAGTCTGGATTCGTGGCTGCTCCCTGGCCATCACTGGTCTCCCCTGCTCCTGTCAGGAGCGTATGTTTCGAATCTTCATCCAGGTCACAAATAGAGAACGGAATGAGATGACAGAAGCGTAACCATGTCATCATCTGACAGGCCTTTCTTACTGACACCACCAGAGACCAGGAATTGGGCAGGGTGCTGCGGAGACAGACATGAACCAGAGCCAGCTGCTCCTCGGACCTCACAGCCCTGCCAGGGGAGACACATCTACAAAGGGCAATGGCACGCCATCCCACAAACGCTAACACAGAGGTGGTCCTCACAGTACAGCGTGGAGGCAGGGCAGAAGTGTGGCTCAGTCTAGAGAGGGAGCGAAAAGAATGCCCAGAGCAGGTGCCCCTTGAACTAGGACCTGAAGGGTGGGATGGGAAGACAGGGGAGGGGGCAGAGAGAAAGGCATTCCAAGGAGAGGGAGCTGTGTGCACAAAGGTAAGGAACCATCAGGACCCGATGTGTTTGTGGGAAAGAAGCTCCATGCTGCTGGTTCAGAGGAGAGGCAGGGGCAGGACCAGAGGGGGCTTTGGGTTGGATACTATACACAATGGGGAGCAAGGAACAGCTTCTCAGGAGGCAAATGACATGTCCGAGTGTGTCTTGGCAGGGGGCAGGGGGGCGGCGCTCTGGTTTGATTCAACAAAGGGACTGGAAAAAGGAAAAATGGTCCTAGACCAGGCCCTCCCAACTTGCACAGTAGCTAGATTTTATCACCTATCCAGTCCCCCTTATTCTTTTAACTTTGGTTTCCTGGAGTGTAGGCTTTGGCTGTCCCTTGAGGTGCCCAGAGCTAGCAGGCCAATGGGCCTACAGATGGAGGTTAACTGAGGCACTCTAAAGAGCCCTTTCCTGGTCAAAATGAGAGCAGAGACGTGAGTCTGGCATATACTCTGTTCTCAGCCACAAACCAAAGTTGAGACTCCAGGGTGATTTTATCTGCAATGACAAGTCCACCCCCAGGCTCAGACAGGTATTGTTCTGGGCTCAGCAGACATCCCCAAGTCAGACAGATGTCCAGGACTCAAACAGACATTGCCCCCAGGCCAGGAGGATGTTGCACCAGGCCCAGACAGATGCTGTGCCAAGTTCAGACACATGTCCTGGGCCCAGACGAAAGCCTTCCTGGGGCCAGATAATGTTCTGGGTTCAGCCAGGTGTTCCAGCCTCAAACAGATGTTGTCTCCAGCCCAGGCAGATGCTACCCTAAGCCCAGACAGATGTCTGCCACCAGAGATATATAAAGATGCTAAGAGGTCCCTGGGAAAATATAATTCCTAAATTCTCCTTTGCCGCTTCCACCCTCCACCTGCTACTCTTGAGAAAGCTGAGGAAGGCCAGCACTGAGCCCAGCCAGCTCTTTCCAGGCCCTCCCAACTTGCACAGCCAAAGAGCTATATTATTCTGTCTTTCCCCCTGACTCCAAGCTGGCCTGCTGCACGGAGGGAAAGAAGGCACACACGGTGGGGCAATGAAGGAGGCATGTGGACAAGAACACAGAGCATCTGTGCCATCTGTGGCATGGTAGACAATGGTACCCAGGCTACCGAGATGACTGGACAAAGAAAGGGGATGAGGCGGGGATCAGAGCTGATGTAAAGACTAAGCCCACTTAGTCTTACCTCAAACCCCACACTCTGGGACTGCAGGGGAGAAGTCCTATGACCTCACCTCCATACTCATGTACTTTGACCAACACCGTAGAAATGCCATTGGTGAGTCATTTGAAAGTAACTACTGCTCCAAAGTTGGACTGCACTAAGCTAGGGACAAAGACAGAAATTAGGAAGTGTGGACATTAAGTGAGAGTGAGTCCCATTCATCAGCTTGGTCCTGGCTAGAATGACCTTCTTTCCCCCAAGAGCCCTCATAGGGGCATCGCAGACCAGGAAGGAAAAAGAGCTTTCCCATCATTGCCGTGCCGCGCCCATCAGGAGACAGAGCTATGTTAACTGCAGCTTTGCAGAAGTTGAGGTTCAGAACTATGGGTTTTCCCATTCCAAGCCACTAGACTTGGGTAGAGGAACGAGAGGGATTACAGTGAGACTTTGACCTCCCCATCTCCCCATCTGCCATAAGGGGCTCCCCCACTAGACTCAGTCTATTCTGAAGGGGAGTTCCTAGAGGCAGCAGCTCATGCATATGTAAATAAAGCATAAGCCACGCCCCCTCCCACAGGTGAAGGTCAGGACCTCCCTCCAGCTCTACCTCCTCCCCCTCAAGAGCTTCCTGGAGACTAAGGAAGGTGAGGTGTGGTCTTTAAAACCACTCTCAAAGGCAAGCACTGTCCGAAACACTAATGCACACATATTAATACGAACCAAGCACAAACACCCTAACACAAGCACAGAAATACTTATGTGCTTCTGTAAAATACAAACAGGAATTCGTGCAGGCATGCTAACCTACAGTTACCCAACTATACAAGCACACCAAGCCCCCAACTCACTGTTGTAAACACTGTACGGCACACAGACACAAGGAACTCCCTTCCAGCTCCCTCCCTTCCAGACTACTCACCTGCCCACCCCCAGCCTCAGTTGGCCAGAGGCAACACCAGGCCCAGGAAAGCGCATCCCTTGTCTAACAATGATGACAAGAACTTAAATTATCACTCGTTGCTCCCACCCCACCCTGTGGTGGTGAATTTTGCAGCCATCCAGACAAAAAGTGTGTTAAAAAAAAAAAAGTGAGAGATAGAAACTCAAATCCAGCCCCAGCCTTTCAGAGTGATTAATCCCTGCTAATGATTTACCGATTTGCAGAGAGCGTGTTCTGCATAACCGGATTGTGGGCATTAACACCAGCTCAGAGGCTGCCATTCTGCTAAAAATGAAAGTAAATTTCAAGAGCAATTGACCACCCCTAATTTGAATATCCTACTGATGCACTGGGAGGACCCGCACCCCCACCTATCAACCTAGAAGGCTGAGGCAAGGGAAAAAACACAAGGAAAGGTTCATTCCTAAAAGATATCTCACCTTTCATCCTTCTTTCCCTTCCCCAAGACTGAGACATAGGGAAACCTAAATAAGTGAAACTGCTTCTTTCTCCTCTGCGAAAGGCAGCCGTGCCTCTCCTACTCTCCGCTCCCCTATACGAGGCTCTCAGGAGCACAAGAAGGACAAAAGAGGAAGATAACTGGAGGGGCTGAGTTCAGAAGGAGAGAGGAGGGGGTTTGAGAGCTCAGAATAGAGTGATCCCACCCCATGTGGGAAAGATCTCTTGATGGTGGGGAGCGCTATGAATCTGTCTAGCTGGCACCAACCTGCAGAGAGGAAGTGGATGTACCTACCCAGGCTGGGCTTCCCAGGTGGTCCTAGTGGTAAAGAACCCCCCCTGCCAATGCAAGAGGCATAAGAGACTCAGGTTCAAGCCCTGGGTCAGGAAGATTTCCCCGGAGGAGGGTATGGCAACCCACTCCCATCATTCTTGCCTGGGACATCCCATGGACAGAGGAGCCCGGCGGGCTACAGTCCCATAGGGTCACAAAGAGTCGGTCACGACTGAAGTGACCCAGCACGCAGGCAGGCTGGAATCTGAGGCAGCCGGGACCCTGCCAGATGCTTCCAGTCAAAAACGCATTCTAGCCCAGAAGCAGCAGGGTGTGGGCGTGGTCGCTCCCCACACTGCTTAGCAAGAACTGGTTGAGGGAACAGGCAGGTTCTGCTCCTGCTCTCACAACCTCTTACTCACCCCTGGCAGCCAGGCAGGAAAACCAAGCCACGCTCTCCCTTTCCAAGTTTCCATCCAGGCAGTGATCTCATCCCGCCTGCACAGGAACCCAGCGGAGGCCGTCCTGCCCAGCCTACAGATGAGGACACTGAGGTTCACAGAATCAGGAGAGCTGAGATTGGGGTCATCAGGCAGGTCTGAGTCAGGATGGAACCCAGGGCTCCTTGACACTGAAAACACAGGATCTGGAGCATAAGGGAAAGACCAGTGGGCTGAGAAGGGAACGGAAGCGGGCTGCCCCCCTTGGCCCCCCTTCCCACTCAGCCTGCCTTGGACAAAGACTTCAAGCCCACGCACACAGGAGGGCATCCTAGGACATGAGCTCCTCCCAGCAGCCCTCCCTACCAGTCTGATCTCTCCTCTCTTTAGCTCCACTGGGCTCCTGACTTGCGAGGAATACAGGTAGTGTCCGGAGCCCCTCTTCCTCCAACACTGAAAAGGCCTTGGGGACTCCCCTGGTGGCCCAGTGGCTAGGACTTCACACTCCCAATACAAGGGGCTCAGCTCTGACCCCTGGATGGGGAGCTAGATCCCACATGCCACAACGAAGAGTTTGCACGCCCCAGCTAAAACCCAATATGGTTAAATAAATAAATAAAAATAAATATTAAAAAAGAAGAAGAAGAAAGGGCCTTAGGTCTTTGGCTGCATCTGCTCTCAGGGCTCCCCTGGACTCCGAGGACCCACTGACCCACTGCAACAAGACATAATGGCAGGAGCCCAGAGACCAAAGCGGGCAAGCAGCTGGGCCCAGCTGCCCCCTCTTCCTCCCTCCCAAATCTCTCAGCACACCATTGTGAGTGTTCGCCTGTCTGGTATGTGCATCTAGAATATTATAGTGTGTGTGTGGCTGCCCTGCTGCTGATGGCGAGGGTGGTCATATTCTACAGGCCACTTCTGAATCTCTCAGGCGGGAGTGTGAATATAGGTTGTGGGGTTTGTGTCTCTGACTTGAGACTTGAGAGAAAGGATATGGGGGCTTGTGTAGCTGCAGCTCATCCCCACAGAGCCTCCCCCCTGCAGCCCCTCTGGCTCAGAGACCCCCCACAGCGAGGGCCCCATCTGCTGGAGGCTCACTGACCTGTGTCAAATGAGCAGGCGCTCGGTCACACTCCAGGGCCTGGAGGAGGCCTCGCCATTCTGGGAAAGCCTGGGCAGCTCCTGGCCTGGGGCAGGCTGGGTAGGGGCCCCCGCTGGGGAGGGAGGCCAGGGAGCCTCTGAGGCTGGCGGCGGCCTGGCTGGGAGCTGCCCTCCACAGACAAGGAGAGTGGGGGGAAAAAAAAATGAAAAGAAAGGGCTTTCCTGCTTCCTTCAAATGAATGGGGCCGCTGAATTGCATGGACTAAGCTCTGGGCTGGGCAGGGCCCCCTCCTGGGCTTTCTGATCCCTTGTGTAGATGGGTTAGTTCCTACAGGGTGTAGGTGTCTATGTGATGCCTGGGGTAGGAGAATGCATGCTCACGATTGTGAACACAAGAGGGTACGCCCATTTGTGTGAACTGGCATGCCAGCTGACAACCTCCATGATTGTCACCCCAGGGGCCTGTAGGTCTCCTATAGGTCTGGGTCTAGTGGGCTGAAGGAATGCCTGCTTGAGCCTATTTCAGCCTTGGTGTGGACTCTGCAAATGTTGAGACACATGTCTGTATTTATCATTGTGTGTTGGTTTGTGTGACTTTGAATATCCAACCTAATGATGTGAGTCCATGTGTTCCTATTATGAATCTGTATGTCTGTCCCCAGGCTAAATTTCATGTGTGTATCTGCATGTTACAAGTATTTGTGTGTGTGTGTGTGTGTCTGTGTGTGAATGCACATCTGCTCACATGCCTAAACCACTCTGTGTCTGCATGGGTCAGGTGGGTATCTGACTTCCGTCTTCCGGGTTTTCTCTGTGGTCTACAAGGGCAGGGCTCCTAGAGAGAGGAGATGCTCTGTAGCAGGTATTCTGCCACTAGCCATGTCATTGCCCCCACTGACCTACACAGAATCTCGAGGAGCAAGAGCAAAGGGGCTAGGACTTCCCTGGCAATCCAGCAGTTAAGACTTTACCTTCCAATAGGGGGGGTACAGGTTTGATCCCTAGTTAGGGAGCTAAGATCACACATGCCTCCAGGCCAAAAAAAAATGCCAAACAGAAAACAGAAACAACATTGTAACAAATTCAATAAAGACTTTAAAAGTGGTTCACATCAAAAAAAATCTTAAAAAAAAAAAGAGTAAACGGAATACTGAGACTTCCTAGGAAAAACTTAACTCTCAAATACAAGAAAATTGTGACTCAAGATCAAACCCATATCATTGTAGAAGAGCTAAAACTTTGAAAGCAGAGAAAGAAATGTTATCCTTTCCTAGTTCACACTGCTGTTCAACCCAGGGCAACATCTCATAGGAAGAGGGCATCTAAATTACACACTTTGTTTCATCCTTGTAGCTCCAAAACAAACCTGAGAAGTAGGCATTTCTGTCTTTGTTTTTATATGAAGAAACTGAGGCTCTAACAGGCAAAGCAAAGAGCAGGGCTGTTAAAGGGATTAATGGGATTGGGACTAGATTTGCTAGCCGACAAGCTGGTAACTTGCTTAGGAGCCTGGTTTTGCTGCAGCCACCCCTCAATTCAGCACAGACTTGGGAATTTGCCTTCAGGAACACCAGTTGGCCAGAGGCAGGGCAGTAAGCTTTCTCTGCTGTGAAAGCCTCCACAGGAAACTTCCCCATTCCACAGCCTGGGGAGAACGATGGGGAGCCATGGACTTCCCCATCATTCTTCCCAGGGTGAGGCTTGTTCTGAGCCCTTGGACAGGCCTCAGTGCCTTCATCTGTGCAATGGGAGAACAACTCTAGTTCTCTCTCTTGGGGCTGAGAGTAGCAGGTAACATCATGAATGAGAAGTATGTATTTGTTAAAACATCCATTGCTCATGGTGACCATTCCAAACAACATCTTGTCCACTGTCCAGACATCTCCCTTTCTCCAACAGAAACTGAGACAGGTTCATAGACTCAGACCATCAGAGCTGGAAGGGAGGTTACCAAAGAGGTCATCTGGTCCAAACCTCCACATCCCCACTCTGCAGATGAGGGAACTGGGATTTAGTTAGAGTGGGGGAGTAACCTCTTCATTCACTGGGTGCTAACAATAGAAACAACAAGAGTAAAATCCTTTCTGAGTCCTATTCCCTCCCACTGTCTTATACCACCCTATGACTTACCTTAGTGAGATAGGTGGGCTGCCTATGGTACTGTTATTCCCAATTTACAGGTAAAAGAACCAACCAGGAAGTTATTCTTGCCCAGGAAGATAGTGGCAGGTCCAGGCTGGAAGCCTAAGCTTCAATGTCACACCGTCCTGGTTAGCGCTGGAGAGGGGACTTCACTACAGAATTCCCAGGTGTAGTCCTAACTCCTGGGCCTGGGAGAGAGGTAAGGAAGTCCTGGGATGCTGCAACGTGACAACTTCCTTGGCCAGAGTCCAGGAAAGCCCAGCATTTTTAGCTAGGTTCGGACACCCAGCTCCATCACAACTCTTGCAATGGAGATGGGACCTAAGCAGCTTGCTCAGGACAGTGGCCAAAGGCCTGGGGCATTCTGGGCCTGGATGAGCACATCTGTGCCCTTGTCACTGTTGACTCTGCCCCAGTCACCCCCACTGCAGCTGCCACCGGAGCCTCCATCATCCTCCACACACTGAGGCTTTATTCCACTGTCCTGACCTGCCAGTAGGGCCCTAGCTGGGCCTCCGGCTTGGTCCTGCAGTCTGGGGCCCTGGGGCCCTGGAATCTATGAACCCACTGGAGGCAAGGTCAGTAACGAGGTGAACTGGCAGCTGAAGACTCCCTGTGAGACAAGCCTCCGCATGGGAAGAGTGGAGGCTCAGCTCATTCCACACACCTCCCAGCCAGCGTGTCATGGAAGAGCTGACGCTGAGGCCTAAGGCCACTGAAGATCCTTCAGGGAGCCCTCAAAGACCTGGGGGATGAGGAGGTACCCCAGCCTTGCCAACAAGGCCTCTTCAATCCCAGTGCCCTTTTCAGCAGCCCCGGGGCAAGTGGGTTAAACTCCAGCCCAGGGTTCCCTGCAAAGCTGGACAGCTCCCGGCCTGCACTCCGGATTTCTGAGGCGCCAGTGCCCTTCCCCAAGTCCACGCGGCTGCTCACCTAGAGCAAGTGTCCCCCGGGCGTGACCCCGCCATGACCCAGGCCAATGAGCCATGCAGGCAGGAAGGAGAAGGAGCGAGAAGGCGGCAGCGGCGTGGGTCAGATACCCATGGGCCCTGTTTGTCCACCAGCCCTGTCAGCGGCGTTTCCCCGGAGCCAGTCTCCACCTCGAGGTCCTCTCACTCAGGAACCTCGGAATCGGCCTGAGTACAGGAACTCCGGTCTCCCCCACAGCATCGCTGCCGCCGACCGTTCGGCGCGGAGCCGCCCGCGCGGTACTCACCTGGGCCACGGTACCCTGGAGGAGAGCCCATGAGAGGCGTGAAGTCGAGCCGGTCCGACTCTGCCCGCGCCGGATGCTCTCTCTCAGGGCCGCGGAGGCCGACAGAGTTGCGCTGGGTGGTCTAGAGGACGAAGAAGGGAAACCGAGACGGGCCGGGGAGGCGCGCAGAGGAGAGCTCCGCGCCCGCTGGAAGCCGTGGGAGGCGAGACGGGCAAGGTGAGCAACCGCACCGCAGCCGAGCCGGGGATCCGCGCCGCCTGCAGCTCGCAGCCGCCTAGACCCGCGGGAATCCCGGCCCGCCGGCCGCGGCACTGAGGAGGGAGGAGCGCGGGGCTAAGCGGCTTCTCGGAGCCCGAGCGCCTCCCGGAGCCCGGCATCCCCGCCTCTGGCCACCCGGGCGGGAGACCTGCGGGAATTCTGCTCGCGTGGAGCGTGGGGCCCGCCGGGTTCGGAGTCTCCAGAGACGGGGGAAAGCTGGGCCCACGCAGCCAGGACGAGAGGGGGTGCGGTCCCAGTACCACCCCCGCGCCACTCCCCACGTGGCGGCCGCGCCCCCGGGGCGTGAGTGTGTACGCGGACGGTAGGGGGGCTGTGAATGAAGCCCCAACGGCCAATCAGCATGGCCGGCGCGCGGGACCCCGGGAGTGAGGCCCAATGGCAAGCTCTGGGCGGCCCGGCCGGGAGGCGGGCGGGCGCGGGGGGCGGGGGCCGGGGCCGCGGGGGGGCGGGAGGCGGCTCCGCGGGCAGCCAATGGGCGGCGGGTGGGGTGGGGCTCCGGAGCGCCGAGCGGGTCCCGGCTTTAAGCCGGCGGAGCGCGGCGGCGGGGCCCGCAGACGGAGAGGAGCGGCGGCGCGGCGCGGCGCGGGGCGCGGGGCGGCATGGCCACCACCGCGCAGTACTTGCCGCGGGGCCCCGGCGGCGGAGCCGGGGGCACAGGACCGCTCATGCACCCGGATGCCGCGGCGGCGGCGGCAGCGGCCGCGGCCGCCGAGAGGTTGCACGCGGGGGCCGCGTACCGCGAAGTGCAGAAGCTGATGCACCACGAGTGGCTGGGCGCGGGCGCGGGCCACCCAGTGGGCCTAGCGCACCCCCAGTGGTTACCCACGGGAGGAGGCGGCGGCGGCGACTGGGCCGGCGGCCCGCACCTGGAACACGGCAAGGCGGGAGGCGGCGGCACTGGCCGAGCCGACGACGGTGGCGGAGGCGGCGGTTTTCACGCGCGCCTGGTGCACCAGGGGGCGGCCCACGCGGGCGCGGCATGGGCGCAGGGCGGCACGGCACATCACTTGGGCCCCGCCATGTCTCCGTCGCCGGGGGCCGGCGGGGGCCACCAGCCCCAACCGCTGGGGCTGTACGCGCAGGCGGCCTACCCCGGGGGCGGCGGCGGCGGCCTGGCCGGGATGCTGGCGGCGGGCGGTGGCGGTGCGGGGCCGGGCCTGCACCACGCGCTGCACGAGGACGGCCACGAGGCGCAGCTGGAGCCGTCGCCTCCGCCGCACCTGGGCGCCCACGGACACGCACACGGACATGCACACGCTGGCGGCCTGCACGCGGCGGCGGCGCACCTGCACCCGGGGGCGGGCGGCGGTGGCTCGTCGGTGGGCGAGCACTCGGATGAGGACGCGCCCAGCTCGGACGACCTGGAGCAGTTCGCCAAGCAGTTCAAGCAGCGGCGCATCAAGCTGGGCTTCACGCAGGCCGACGTGGGGCTGGCGCTGGGCACGCTGTACGGTAACGTGTTCTCGCAGACCACCATCTGCCGCTTCGAGGCCCTGCAGCTGAGCTTCAAGAACATGTGCAAGCTCAAGCCGCTGCTCAACAAGTGGCTGGAGGAGACCGACTCGTCCAGCGGCAGCCCCACCAACCTGGACAAGATCGCGGCGCAGGGCCGCAAGCGCAAGAAGCGCACGTCCATCGAGGTGGGGGTCAAAGGCGCGCTCGAGAGCCACTTTCTCAAGTGCCCCAAGCCCTCGGCGCACGAGATCACAGGCTTGGCCGACAGCCTGCAGCTGGAGAAGGAGGTGGTGCGGGTCTGGTTCTGCAACCGGCGGCAGAAGGAGAAGCGCATGACCCCGGCTGCCGGCGCCGGCCACCCGCCCATGGACGACGTTTACGCCCCCGGCGAGCTGGGGCCGGGCGGGGGCAGCGCGTCGCCGCCCTCGGCGCCCCCGCCGCCCCCGCCGGCTGCTCTGCACCACCACCACCACCACACACTGCCGGGCTCCGTGCAGTGACCCCGCGGGCCGGGCCCCCCGCCGGTGCGCGGCGAGGCGCCGCGCGGCCTGAACTCTTTTTTGTTCGGTTGCTTTGGATTTTACAAAAAGCCCACAAACTTTCGAATAAAACCAAACACCCGGACCACCCTCTCCTGCGAGCGGCGAAGACGGCCGACAGGCTGCGTCGCCCGAGCCCCGAGAGAGAGGAGCGAAGATCCGGAACGCGCCAACTCACCCCGGGCATCCTGCCCGCCGCCTGCTCCCTGCCCCCAACCCCTCGACGACCCCCGCCCCTGCCCCCCCGGGCTGTTCGGGGCCGGATCCCGGCAGCGGCCTCCCCACAGCGACAGGTAACGCGGTACGGGGTTAGGGATTCCCCGGGAGAGAGGACGAAGAGAGGCGAGCTCCCCATCCCTCTTCCCCGCGCGGATCCCCGAGCCTGCGGGTCGCGGGTGGGGAACTGTCACCTTATTCGCTCCACGCCTCTTCTCTCCCATAAGGATGCGCCCCATCCCCCTTACCCTTCCTCCGGGCTTGGTTTTTTATGGTTTTTATTTATTCATGGAGCCTCTCGGCTCCTGGGGTCCTTCTAACTCCGCCCGCGCCCTTAATTTAAATCGCTGTATACTGTATTTATCGGGGCCCCGGAGGGGAGGCCGCGAGAGCCGCGTCTGTGTATAAAAGCAGGAAATAGCCAAAGCTTTAATCTAGCCTAATTTATTTTCCCCCTTACCTTCCCTATCTTAGCCCTCAAAAAAAGAAAAAAAAAAAGCAAAACAAACAAAAAAAAACTAACAAAAAAGAAATTCGAGTGTTCATTTTTCGTTTCGTTTTACCCGAGCTTCTGCTCGGTTCCCGGCCACGCTGTAGGAGTCTGCGCTCCCACGCACACGCGGATGGGAAGGGGCTTCTGCCCTGCCGTTGACCGACCAGCAAGTAGCAGGGCCCCGGCTCCCCGCGGGGCCCTGCCCTCCTGGCCACAAACAAACGAAACTTGGAAAAGTTGGAGATATTTTTTAACCAGCTGTAGAAATAAGCCGTTCCCTGAGAACCTTCTGCCTGAATCCGCTCTCTTTCCAGCCCCTTAGGATGCGGGATGCTGGGGGAAGCCTGGAGAGAAATTCCCCAAGTTTGGGGTGAGGTGGGAACCATGTAAATATGTGAGATATGTATACACTGGCGGGGAGAAAGAAACATTTTGTGCTTGGTTTTTATTTTTGGTTTTCCGGGTTGCCCTCCCTCCCTATCCTAAAGGATTTTGTACACTCACTAATCCGAAAAAGATATTTTAATATGATTTCCAGATTTCTGATCCATCTCTATTTATTTTCTGGATGTGTTTGGAGCTTCCCCCTTCTCCATTTCTTGTTCTGTTACCGTTTGAATTTAAATTTTGTTATTTTATTTTTATTATTTTTTGGAACAATGTTTTGGTGCATTCTCTTTGTATCCTTATTGCAAAAAAAAAGTAATAATAATGTAGACTGGGAAGTTCCCTTTATATTTATGTTATAGTAAATATTTTATTACTCACATAAACATGTACCCCAGGGCTGTGTCCTGTTCTCCTTACTACTAGGGCCGGGTTGGTTCGTGGGTGATGTGATGGGATACCCTGGCTTGCCTCCCCCAAAGTTCTGGCATCACTATCTTGGAGGAATGTGGCTACACAGACCTTCTTTCAGGCCAGTATCAGAGCAGCTTGTTACTTGGGCACCAGTTGGGTCCCTGCCTCAGATGAGTGAGGTTAGGGAAGATGAAGCCACCTCATATCCCCCTCCCATAAACAGACTATCCTGGGATCTGACCAGGGCATAAGACACTGCAGACAGCGCACCGAATTCGGATCAACCATTCCTCAGGCACAACTCAACTGCTCTTCTGAGCCAAGGAAGAAGCCTGCCTCCCTCTACCTGGCCCACCAGCCAGGCATCTCTGTATTTACATTCCCCGGATAAACAGACCCACCCCTGACTTTGACTTCACTTTGCACTTCCTGGGTGGAGCCCAGGCCAACTTCATCATTCCAGGTCTTGGGGCAGGTGGAAGCGAGTCAGGCCCCACCAGATCACCCCAGCTGGCGTTCCACCTGCAAACAAATGTTACCCAAACCTGCCCGGATCCCCTGAGAGCCCTAGCAGCTCAGACGGGGGCCTGCAGGAGTTGAATGGCCTGGGGAGGGACTCCCACGTGTTTGAGCAAAGCCAGTACTCCTTCTCTACAGGCAAATGACCTGCCCCAACTTCTCTCGGGGAGGAGTGGGGGCAAGAACATCTGTGCCACCAGAAAGTCCCAGCATCTCCTCTCCAGGGCTGGGTCCCTAAGGGAACCCCCACCTCCCCTCTCCTCAGGAAGTGGTTGCCTCTGCCTATGGAGGACTCCAGGGCCCTGCACTCATGACCTGGGAAGAGAAGCAGCAATGCTCAGACATCCCCCTGTCAAGCCTTCAGCACAGCATGCCCCCCTTCCCCAGAGTCAGGATGGTAAAGGCAGCTCTGGGCTCCAGAGCCAAAGCCCCTGACTGTGTCCCAGCGGAGATCCTTTCTCCTTTAAAACAAGTCCTCAAAAATACTAATAAAACAGCTCTTCCTGTTTCCTCCGTAGATGCGGTTCTTTTCCCATCTTAAGAGAAACCAAGTGAGGTTTATCTTACTCTTCGTGGAGACAAAGCTTGAAGGCGCAATTGCTCGCTGGGGGAGAAAGCTGTGTCCCTAGCGAGGGTGTGTGTGTGGCTCCCTCCTGCCGGGGAAGGTGTCAAAGCCCAGGTCTGCGAGAGGCCTTGGCTCCAGCTGACAGAATCTTGGGTGCCCAGAGAGGGGTTCCCAGGCCCCCAAGTTGGCTGTCTCTGGCAGGCTTGGGTCTCAGGATGACTTGTTCGATGCTGCGGGTTCCTGGAGACACCCAGAGCTCTGCCCCGATCAGTCTCGGGAGAGTTGTCCCTCCAAGTACAGAGGCCACCGTGGTTTTCACAGGCTCAGCCTCTCACAGTTTATTTCTTTTCCCCCTTAGACCTTCGGTCCAGCCTAGTAAGCAGTTAGCCCTGCGTTGGCACCCGTGTCCCAACCATTCCATTTCCTAAATTGGCAGGCCAGGGAGCCTCCCCAGGCTTTTTACAAGGGGGGTTAGAAACTTTACCTGCCGGTTGGGTGACAACATGACCAGGAGCCGCTGGCCACCCCACCTAGGCCTCTCATCTCCAACTTTGAAGGAATCGCATGCTCCCCCACACTCCCTCCTTGTTCTTCCTTCCTGGATTCGTCCCAGCCTCAAGGCCCTGAAATGGAAGCCAACGTAGCTCAGAGCTCCCTGCCGCCTGAGCCGCAGCAGGTTTGGAGGTTGGAAAGTGCGGCCGGGAAGACGGGGGGCCCTTCCCTGGCCTCTGCCTGCAGCTGACACCAATTGATTGATTGATTTCCTAATTGTCTGCTTAATCCGATCCAAGAGGGTAGATTTATTATTTAAGCAAGTCAACTCCAAAACAACCAAACAATGCAGTCCCCCAAGATCCAACAGCAGCTGAGGAGTAGAACAAAAAGAGGGGAAAAGGTGAGAAAGGGGATGGAAGAAAATCTTCCATTTGGCGGCGATTTTGCTTAATGAGACACCAGCCTGGGACAGCTACCCGCTGACCCACCCCTCGGTCCCAGAAGGCCCCAGGGGGCTCCTTCCCCCAGTCTCCAGCCTGGGTTGATGGTAGGAACCACAACATGTCTGACAGTATAAAAAGGAAACCATAGGACCTACAGAGCAATATTTTCCCCTGGAGTCTTACTCCCCAGGTAGAATAGAACTTAGAAATGGCAGTCAGCTATGAGCTTGACCTCGGTTTTTCCAGCCCATGTATATGGGGGTCTACCTGCTCACTCCTGAGAGCTCCAAACTTCCTTTTGTTCAAGAGAGCCAGATGTCCCTAGCATTGACCTCCCACGAAGCCCAAGCTTTCCCCAGCGGATTTGGGATTTTCTCATCCCATCTTCCTCCTCTTCTGACCAGAACAAAATTCTTCTCAGAGATCAGACAGCCACCGATTCTGGTAGTTAAAGAGAGCCTCCCTTTCCCCACAGGAACCACTGGGTGTTGGTGTGTGAAGGTGTACGTGTGCTCCTGTGCCTATAAATCCATAGCTGCTCCCAGAGATAGGAGCAGGGGAAGAAAGTCCATGCTACACTGCCGTTGCTTTGAGCTGGGAGAATATTTGCAAGGTGGGAGTTGGCTAAAATGCAAAGAAGAAAGGTGGCCATTGTGGTTGCCTGGGGTCATCAAGGCAGATTTGGAAGGTGCCTGCCCCTGAATTTCAAGGATGCTTGTATTCCCCACTACCACTTGCCCCAGGAGTTTGCACTGGCTTCTATGTTGCATAGCTTAGAACCTGTGCCATCATCTTTTGGCCCCAGGACTCCACTAGGGGTCCACAGGACTAGCTGATCCCCAACTCCAACTGCCCACTTAGGGCTCTTTAGAATCAGTTCTCCTCCGAAGAGGCTCTGGGCCAACATGGGGGAGGGTCAAGCCCCCCGTGACATGTCCAGGCCCAGGCTTTCGCCAGCAGGGCTTGAGCTCCAGAAAGGAGACCCACCTGAGCAGGGAGAGGAGAAAGAGGAAGTTAGTTACCTGGCCTGGAGGTTCCCCCTAAGCTTAGCAAAGAGGATTCATCAGGGTTTTCTGGCTTAGGGACCAGAGGAGCCATCCATGTGTCCCTGCCCAGCATGTGGGAAGGCCCTGGAGTTAGTATTTGCCCTCCTTCAAGGCTCCCCTTGCCACTTGGGAGGCCTCTGTGTGGAAGGACTGCCCTCTATTGGTCCCTGAGCTGGGACGTGGCAGCAGTCACCAGGGCCACCTCACGACTGAGCATACCCCAAAATCAGCATTAAGTTGGCTACACGCTGAAGGGTGCCAGATAGAGCAGAGGCAACCTGAGTCTTCAAAGGAAGCCATCTGGCTTTACACACACACAGGCTTGCCCATGACCCTTCCTTCTCCATCTACCACCCAGCCTGTGCCTCCAGCCATTCTCAGAAACTCTCCATCACGGCTACTTCCTCTGCTTCTGCCCCACTCACACCCATCACCACCACTTCTCCTCTCAACCAGCTAAAACCCCAATGCACGCTCTGCCAGCTTGCTCACTCACGCACATGCTGACACTCGCAGGCACACCCCTACCACCGTCTGGCTGTCCGATGCCAGCTTCAAGGCCTTTAACATCGAGCTCTCCAGAGGTGCTGGGTACCTGTGCCTGTGCTTATCTGATTTAACACATGCAGCCTCCTTTCCATCCCTTGGCAGGGTCCCCTCCTCTCAGGATTTTCAAACACTCACCCCACAAGCTGCTTTCCAGACACATCCCTGCCCATCATTGTTCCCAACTCCTCCCAGATCTCGCCTGCTCCCTTCAGATAATTAAAGTTAGGCTGTGTGTTTGTATGTATGTGTGATCTTATTTTTTAAACACACACCCCCACACATACATATGCGTGTATATATACAAACACACACAGCAATTAGATCTATCCGTCCCTGCCGTCGTCCCTCTTGTGCTAAACACATGTCCCCCATCGCCACGCCATGAACCCAGCATCTTGTAGTCATGGGCTCTTGATCTTTCTCTCTCTCTCTCTCTCTCTCTCTTTCACACACACACACACATACACACACTGGCACTTTCACACACACACACCCCCAGCTCTTTGGTGTTTCTCCAGGGGCACGACCTACCTCCCACCCACCTCCAGGACATCTGAATGGGCTCCGCTCAGAAGAGTCAAGTACCAGGAGGACTCTGCTTCAGCGCTCCCCCCCTACGCACACACCCCCAGTGGACATGTCTCTGGCTGAGCCTGACCAGGGTGGGTCTGGGTATTATTAGGCTGCAGAGACAGCACGGAGGCATATGGTCTCGTACACAAGAAATAATGTTCATGTTAAATCAGACCTCATGCATAATGCATGGTGCCTGATCTCACATTATTTTGGGTGTTCGTCAAAATCAGTGTTCTTTCTTGTGAGGGCTCCTGGAAAGAAGGGGAAAAGGCGTTTGCTAATTGCACCCACAGCCTGGACCAGGGATCCGAACGTGCCCGGAGAGCCTCCCTCTAGCCCCACTTCACCCACCAGTGGGTCTCATCCCTCTGTCCCCCTCTGTCTTTCCACATGAAAGGAGGGGCTGACTGGGGTTTGGAGCAGGCGTAAGGCCCTGTGTTATTTTTATTTCTTTTCTCTCGGCTCTCTTGTCCCCGGAGGGTTCTGGGGAATAGCAGTGCCTCGTCGTTCACACACCCGATTCATTTGCCGTTTTATGAACTCCCCTTTGATTCATCGCCTCCCTAAGTCAATGATTCACTCCTGATGGCTTTTCAGAAATCCTTCTTCAAAGGCTCCAGATTATTCAGCTCTGAGCAGGAGCAGACCTGGACCCTGCGCTGCAGCCGCCATCCCTGCTTAGGGTGGGAAGTTGTCACCATCCTCAGCCTCTCCCAGGGGCTGGCCAGCTCGGGGAGGAGGCAGTGCCCTCACAGAAGCTGCTAGAGTTGACCCCAGCAGCTCATGGACAGACCTGGCCTTCCAGCAAGGCCCCCTCCCGCCACTGTAGGTCACCTGCCTTTCCCCAGTGTCATCAAAGTCCCTGGGGATGCTCTCCATGTCTCAAGAGAGGCTGAGAGTGGAATGGTGCCACACAGGGGCTGTGGGACCAGACAGATCTGGGTACAAATCCTGGCTTCACCTCTTATCAGCTGTGTGACTTTAGGCCAGCTCCTTACCCTTTCTGGGCCTCAGTCTCCTGATATGGTGGTAATGGCAGTCCCTACCTCACATAGTTACTACGAGGATTAAGGGGCGTGATGTACACAGAGTGCTTAGCATAAGTAGGTGATGGATGAGTGAAAGCTGTTTTAATGTGGGACCTGGGCAGCGCATCATACAAAAGCAAGTGAGCAAGGAGGACAACCAAAATGTAAATAAACTTTTACCACAATCCCACTCTGTCTAAGGCACTCTGACATAATACTTACCCAAGCACTGACTTTGTGCTTTGTTTTCATTATCTCACATTAACTATTCCTATTTTGCAGATGAGAAAAGTGTTGCCCAGAGAGTTTGAGTGACCTATCTAAGGCAGCAAGACTAGTTAATTATAAGGCCTAGAAGAAAACCCACTTTATCTGATGCTCAGATATATGAACATCAACAATGACAGGTATATGTTATTTCTAGACTCCCTGCTGAGGTGAGCAGCAGTGTCCAGTGCGTGGGGGGTGTGCCCAAAGCAGAGGGAGTTCCAGAACTCAGGACTGAACCAGGGAGAGAAGTGGGGACCATGGGTCTTGGAGTTAACTGGCTAGGATCTGTCACCTTCTTCACCACTGTGCAACCAGGCAAATCCCATAAGGCTCAGGGAAGCTGGATGAGCCACCTAGAATCAGCAGGAAAGTCGGGAAGCCTTCTTGTGTGTCCGTTCAGAGCGCTGCGCGCTGACAGATGACATACACACGGTGGCTGAGAATGTGGGCCTTGGCGTCTGTTCAGACTTCCATCCTGGCCACACCACCTACTGCCCAGGGGACCTTGGGCAAGCTCAACGTGCTCTCCCTACCTCGGTCTCCTCGCATGTCAAAAGAAGACGACGACAGTGCCTGCATGGTAGGATTGTTGTGAGAACTAGAGGAGAGATGATATACATAAACACTTAGAATGAGAGCCCAGCACAGTGTAAGTGCACATTAAATGTTAGCTACAAAATCAATTTTATATGTACAATATATATTATCGTGTTATTGCTGGGGCTGAAGTAGTGCAGAAAAATAATGCCTAGTGCTTCTTCTCCCCACTCCCCAGAATTATTTTTCTTCATTCTCAAAGCCATCCTGGGAAGAAAAGTTCAACCTCTCCACTCCCCAACCATAGAAGAAGAAACAGGCCCAAAGAGGTTGAGGCACTTGTCCAAAATGACCGAGAAAATCAGTGGAAGGTGCAGTCTCCTAGCTTGTTCCCCACTTCTGATTTTTTGTGGCATCACCCTGGTGATGTGCTCTGAGCCCCTTCTATGTCCAAAGGCACTGTGCTGGGTTCTGGGGAGAGAGCCCCCAGAGGGTCAGGGAAGGCCCCATAGACACTGGTACCACTAAGCTAGGTCATGAAGAATGAGTTGGGGGTTGCCTCTGGGGCTTCTAACTCACCCTAAGAGGTAAAACGACTCAGCCCCAGTACCCTCAGATTGCACTAGCTCCACCTTCCTGAAACTTCAAGCCTCTTCCTGCCCTGCTCAGAACCCTCCTACATACCTGATCCCAGCACAGAAGATTCAACTCGGGGTCAAGGCTGCTAGACTCCGGTAAGCCAGCCACCTTTCAGGGCACGAACACGACTACAGATTCCTTTAGGTCCCAGCTCCTGTTCCACGCAGCCCTGCCCAGAGATTGACCACCAAACCATGCCCCAGGGTGTCCCAGCTTCAAAGTCAGGGGCCAGGTACCTGGCTCCAGACTTCACTCCACTGTTTATCTTTAGGATGACCCAAGCTGGGTCACTTGTCATCTCTGGACCTCAGTATATAAAATGAATCATTCCCTCGCTTACCCACCCATCCATCCTGCATCCATCCACTCACCCACTCGTCAGCCACCCATGCACCCAGGCAACCATCCATTCATCTACCTACCCATCCACTCATCCATGCAACCCTTGATCACCTGTTCAGCCACCCACTCTCCATTTACCCAACCACTCCCCATCCATCCTCTCATCCAGTCATCTAGTTTAACAGGTCCCTTGTTGAGAAGTAGGAACATGGAGGTAAATAAGACCAGTCCCCCTGTTCTTAAAACGCTCCTAAGCTAGCCTCTTCCTTCCCTACCTCTCAGTCATATAGAGTAGGCATGTGAGAGCTCAAGTGAGATCACCGACTGGGAAGAAATAAGGAAGTCTATTGTTACATCGATGGACCTTGTGTGTCAGAGCGCTGGCAACCTCCATGCCCCACTCATTTCTTCAGGGCCCTACAGAAGATGGAGTCAGTATGGCCTTTGCATGGCCCTAGGACTCCCCTTAGCTCCAAATTCTCAGTCCAGGGATGCCAGGTACTGACCTGAGCTAGAGGAATTTCAAAGCAAGTGAGGGAGAGGAAGGAGCTTGTGAGTATAACTTCTGGCAAGGCTGAAGATCACCACTGGGTCTGTTTTTCTACCAGAAACAGCAGCAGCATCTCAGCACCAGATAGGTCTGGGGAATGTTCTAGACCCAGGCCTGTCCCCACCAAGCTGTGTGATCTTGACTAAGTCCCTGCCGTTCTCTGGATCCCAGTGCAGTTGGGGTGGGGGTGGGGGTGTCCTGGGTCCTCCCCAGTCTGAGGTGACCCCTCTGCATCCTCACTTCCCTTCCGGCCTGGGTGGGCCTGCCCTTCGGACAATGGAGCCTGTCTGAGCAGCCCACACACGAGGGGGAGTATGAAATGACGTGGTCGGTGTCCACAGTCCCGAGTCCTCTGGCTATTCAGCCCCGCCCTCTCCTGACACAAACAACCCTCAGTCACCTCCCCCTCCCACCCCCCAGAATCCGGGCACAGCTGGGGCTTGCTATGCCCTGGTCACCCCATGAATCACCCCTCTATGGTCCCCGGGGGAGTGGTCCAGGGCGCATCCTACGCCCCAAGCGGGGTGAGGGCCAGAACCGAGGCCCTCAAGTGGGCAGTGTCCACAGGAACAATGGGGGCCTGTGGCTGGCAGCCGGAATGTGGCCATTGTCCTGCCCTGGCCCCCAACCCCAAGGCCTCAGGTCCCCAGGCTGGGCAGGCTGGCGTGGGTCGGTGCGTCAAGCGCTCGTGTGCCAGGGCCAGGACACACAGCCTGCCGCTTGCCCTCCCTGGGCAGGCGGATGGGTGGGCCACCAGGCCAGAGCCCGCCTCCGCACCCCAGCTCACAAAAGGATCACATGCGCAGGGTGAGGAGAAGCAAGACTGGACCCAGGGAAGCCAAGCCAGCCTCGGACCCACTCATCCCTGGGGTACTTGGAGCAGACTCGGAGAAGGTGCCTCATAGCTCCAAGACCCAAGCTATACATCACAGTGGGGAGGGGGACCACATTAGAATAATGCAGGATTAGAGTGGGGTTGCTATAGCGACGTATTAGGGCAATACATCTAGGGAGCCCGGCCCCTTGGTGATGTATGACTCTGCTTAGCCGAGGGGAGCAGGGGGAGGGGACCTGTCCCGCCCCTCCAAGGGGTGAGCAGACGCCAAATGTGCTCTTCATTGGAGGAGAACACCTGCCTTGGACTCCAAAAAAAGGCTCCTCAGAATCATGTCAAGACTAAGACAGACACCCTGCAACCCAACCTCCAACAGCCCCCACTGGGGTCCGCACTGAGCTCGGCTTCCAGTCCAGATCCCAGCTGCAGCCTCTGTCTCAGTCCCAGCCTCCATCCCTGCCCTCCAGGCCCTCTTTCTGCTTCAGTGCTGAGGACCATTCCCATACTGTGTCCCCAGCATCCAGCGGGGTCAAAAGGACTATATGGGGGTGGGATGGAAGAGGCAAAGAAAAAAACAGAGGGGGGAAGGGTAAGAGCATCCAGGCTCAATCCAACCACTCAAAGCTATCCATTTGAGAGGTTGAGGTTGAGGGTGCCCGTGCGGGTCCCTTCTCACCCACGGGCCTCCCCATGCCAGTGTCTGGGTACCCTACCCCCACCTTATCCCACATCTGGGAATTTAACTTCCCTCTACATACGCCCTTGGGCCACCAAGGGGGTATTGGTGTAGACTAGCCCTAGAGTCAGACTTGGATGAGGCTCCCAACAAAGGAGAATGTGGTAAAACATCTTCATGTAATGTTTGTAATAAATTGCGTGACAAAGTCAGACTGTGGACTCACTTTCCAACTTCTGTAGCATGTCATTTGTTCTGGCTTGCCCCATCTCAGAGGCCCCGGTTCTCAAGTCCCCTGGGGACTTCAAGTTTCTCTTCAGATAACCTGCTTGGCTGTATCCACCTTGGTGAGGAAGAAGAGGCAGGATGGAGAACCCCCTTCAAGAATCATAGATGTGAGAGAGAGATAAATTAGGAGGCTGGAATTAACAAACAAAAGACTATCTATATAAAACTGATAATCAGCAAGGACCTACTATATAGCACAAGGAGCTACACGCAATACTCTATAATAACCTATGAGGAAAAGAATATGAAAAAGAGTAGATGTAAGAATATGTATAACTAAATGACTTTGCTGCCCACATGAAACTAACACAGCATTGTAAATCTACTACATTCCAATATAAAATATTTTTTAAAATTTTTTTTAACATTTATTTATTCGGCTGCATCAAGTCCTAGTTGTGGTGCCCAGGCTTCTCTCCAGCTGTGGCTTGCAGGCTTAATTGCCTCACAGTATGTGGGATCCCAATTCCCTGACCAGGGATCGAACCGGAACCACCCCCCACCCCGCCCCCACCCCGTACTGAAAGGCAGAGTCTCAACCCCTGGACCACCAGGGAAGTCCTTTAAAAATTTTTTAAAGAAAAGAAAATGTGTTAGGACCTTCCACTAGCTTCTCAAAAAAAAAAAAAAAGAATCATTAAGTGCGCGTATATCCCTATCTACCTCTCTATATATCTTGACTTTCCATCTGTGTAAACATGTCTTGTGTGTAACTCATTGTGTGTGTGTGTGTGTGTGTGCGCGCACACGCATGCACACGCCTTGCCTCCTAACTGAATGATAATTTTTGGTTAATTCAATTGATTACAATAATTACACAATCCCCCCAAAGTCTTCCTTTTTCCTTGTGAAAGTAACACTCTGGCCCAGTGCCAGAGGGTGGGGGAGTGTGGCTCCAGCCCCAGCTGCAAAGTGCTGACCTAGACTTCCCCCACTCTCACTGGAGGAGGGCATAGGTCACAGGACAGGGCAGGGTAGAGGCCTTGCCCTCTACATGCCCGCACATGCACCCCCCGTGCCCACGAACACATGTGGGCAAGTACACACACACACACCTTGGCCCTACCCTGGTGGTGCCCCCACGATGGGGAAAACTTCATCCCTATGAAGGACGTTTCTTCCCTCACTGTCCTTCATCCTCTGGGAGCCTCCTTGCTCACACTCACATGGACACACATGTTCACACACAATTTATGCACACACAGAGCAGGGGGAAGAGGAAAGGCCCAAAGGAGGTAGATGAAGAGACCACGTGTGCCCAGAAGGCAGCTCCCGGCTGTGGGGAGCAGGGCGCCCGGGGTGCATGGAGTAGGAGGGGCGCTTCATGGCTTCCTCTCTTCCCCAGCCAGCAACCAAAGGTCAGCCCAGGCGGCTCAGCCACGTGCGGTCCACCCGCCCCCGTTGGGTCATGTGAGCCCAGGACCAAAGCCTCATCAACACACCATTGTCTTCCAGAGCCCAGCCTCGTGCTGGAGGGAGCAAGGGCCCTTTCAGAATCTGCAGTCCCCTCCTGAAGGGACCCTCTCAGCCCCCACCTCGAGGACAGGCCGCCTGACGCTCAGACTAATCCCAGCCTCTTCAGGACCTCCCAGCCACTTCTGAGACACGGGAAGGAAAGAGCCTTCCACTTGCACTGAGAGTGCCTGTGGTGGGAGCGGCGAGCAGGCGGAGGAGGAAAGGACCACTTTCTCGTGTGCCCTCTGAGGGCTGTACACACCACCCCTGCCACCCCCATCCCCTCCCATACCCCACATATTCTGGAGAGGAGAAAGAGGGAAGTGGAGAAGGGCCCAGGAGTTGCCCTGAAGGTCATCTTGCACGTCAGCACGGGGATGGGCCCCAGAGCCCCTTGCGCCCTGGCTCCCGGCCTGGACCACAACACAGGCTCCATTGACTCCTGGGAACCCTCTTTCCCAAGATGCACGCAAAACTGTGGGCTCGTGGTTCCGGCCCACGGGCCCCGGAGTCCCACAAGGCTCCACAGGGCCTGGCCCCACAGGACTCACCCAGGAAAAGAGGCCAGAGCTGGCTGGCTGGACGGCGTGGGTGGAGGCACCTCCTAAGAAGCTGGCAGAAGAGAGGAAGAAGGAAGGGAGGGACACTTCGCAGGATCTTCATGATCTGGGCTAAAGGTCCTTGGAGTGCACCCCTGAGCCCCACCTACCCCGCCAGGAGTGGAGTCAAAGATCACAAGTACCCAGCTAGGCTAGATTCTCCTCTACCCACCCCTCTTCCCTCCTGACTCCTTGCAAAAACGGGGACTGCTGCCCCTGCCACCAAGACTAAACCTGGGACAAAGCCACCCTGGCCCATCCTCTGTCTCCTGCAAGGGAAGTCAGGTGGAAAAGGATGGTTATATCTGGGGGAGGGGGACGGGAGGAAAGCCAGGCTTCAGCAAGGGGAGGGCTGCCCCAGCAGGATGACAAGGAGATGATTAAACCCACAGAGAAGATTGATAAGAGAGCTAAACAGCTGCAGCTCTGCAAGGTGGGCTGGGGACAGATCTCATCTTGTCCGGGCGTCTCTCAGAGCACACGGGGGGCTGGGCAGTCTGGCTGAGCTTATGACATACCCAAGCTCCCCAGGACTGGGGGCTGAGGGAGGCTCACACCTCCTCCCCCCATCCCCCAGGCCTCTGATGGTGACTTCCTGAACCCAGTGCCCACTCCCACCAGCCCGGAGTTGCCTCCCATCTCGACACCCCTTTGCACCTAGGCAGCGCACCCCTTCTCACCAGTGCCCCCTTCACCCATAGCATCTCGGCCACAGCTCTCACTCTCGTTATTATTAGATGTGATTTACAGCGGAAATGCTGAGTCAGACAAACCAAGACTCCCCAGCAGAGGCAGTGAGAAAGGAGAGGTCCAGGGGAGGTGGCCCTCTCGGGCGCAGGGTTCTCAGAAGAAAGTCAGGAGACGGGGATCCGGGTTGAGTTGGAGGGTCATCTCTCCTGTTTCTCCTATCTGTTCCAAGCCCAGGATCCTCAACTGGGTCTCTTGAACTTTCAGACCCCTTTATCTGATTCCCCACCCAGCTTTTCAGCCTCTGATCTTCCTCGACAAGTTGGAAGCAAACAGCCCAGGGATCCAGAAGACTTGACATCAAGGTCGTTCTGCTGGGCCGTTTCTTCACACCACGGCTCATGATCACAGAGATGGAGAGAAGCAGGAAAAGTGCATTGCTGGGGCCCCAGCCCCCCACTCTGCAGCAGAAAGCATGGGCCCTGTGCGCTCCTGTGGGCATCCAAAGGCACCAGGACACATGGGGTGCACGGCTCTGCTCCCACCTTGCGCCGAAGAGCTCAGTGGGCAGGTCCGTCTCCGCTCCCTAGGTCTCTGACTCCCTGGCAGGGAGGAACTGGGCATTGTTGCCAAAAATAAACGCTCGCTCTCCCGCTCCCTGGCTCCCGGCTCCCGCTCATTAGGATGCGTGGCGTTTGGCTGCGGTCCCACACCTTGCAGCTCATTATAAATATGCAGTCGCTGCTGGCGCTACCCCAATCATCTCTGCAATCAGAGCTTTTAATTAGGTTAATTAAATTGTATCAAATCTCGCAGGGACGCAGTTCACTGATGCTGATGAGGCAGCCAAAACAGACCCCAGCTCCTGCGCTAATGAAGGCCGCTGCCTGCCTGCGCAGCGAGGGAGCCCGAGCGCATAATAAACGGGCGCGTCCTCTGGGAGGAGCTGCTGCTGCCCAGGCCCTGGGCTCTGGGGACCTGGCGGGAGGTCTGCACCAGCCCACCAGGCTCCAGCTGCAGCAGAGACTCCTGCTGCGGAGGACCATCGCCTTCACTTGAGAACTAACACTTGAGAATTAACCTGGGCAGCTTCAGGAGGCCAGGCAAGTGGGCTGGGTCAGGGCCACCCTGAGAACCTGCCGCTCCTACACAGCAAACTTAGGTATGCCCCCAACATCCGCTGGCTCCATCTGGGAGTCCCTCTTTCCCTCTCCTCCAGAATGACCCAACAAGGCCAGGGCCCCAGCCCCTACACACACACACCCACACACCCACACACACACACACATGCACACACCCCTGCCACTGCCCCTCTGGATTGTCTTATTAGGCAGGGAGGCCAGACTGAGACTACAAAGCTCATCCAGTCACTGCTGGCCTAGTCTCCATCTGCCGTGGAGGCCATCTGCCCCAGTCGAGGAGGGGTGGTCATGGTTTATAACGCTACCAGCCAGTAGCAGGACAGGGTGGTGCCCGGGAGTCTCCACGTGCCAGATGGACCCTAAATCTCCCCACATACCACTCCACCTCAAGAGCTCTCTCTGAGAGAGGGACACTTGCCCTCCAACCCCCTGGGATCAAATTAGCTCGCAATGCAAGAGGGCCACCATTTCCCCAGCCCCTGCCCATCCCAGTCCCCTGGCAATCCACAGCTGGCCACAGACACCAGAAGTAGAGGGCGCCGCATAGGTCCTCCCCTGTCTTTATGCAGGAAGGCAGGTGCTGCCACCTCTAAAGGGACTGTCCCCAATGCTCTACGCAGCCTGGTTCCAACCCCCTCCTCTTAACCCCTCTGTCACTGGCCTCAGTGTCGCTGAGCAGCTGAGAAGATGGGGAAATTTTCAGTGCTCTCGGGACATGTTTCTGCTGTAGAAGCTGGTTTTTTGGTTTGGAAAGGTTTTTTCTTTTTTTTTTTTTTCCATCCAGTAATATGAAAACATGAAACCTGAAACCAACCCCCCCCCCATATTTGTCACCTCAGAGAGAAGCCTTTGGGGGAACTGGGAGAGAGCTGTAAATGAGTCAGGCTGATTCAGGGCAGGGGGGCGGTGGGGGGGGCTGCCTAGCTGCCTCCGGGGCACCGCAATTCATTAACACTTATGATCTGGGCTTGGCCGTCAGGCGACAGACGACAGGAGGAAAGGAAAGGGCTTCCTTTCCACCCTCTACCCCAAAGAGCAGTCCCCCGATGAACTCCTCTTGGTGAGAAGCAGTAGGTTCCTGGCTGTTTGGAACCTGCCTCTATCACCACCCTCAGCACCACCGCCCCACCCGGTCACCTCGCCCCGCACCAGAGAGGGAAGGATCATGGCCATTACCAGGGCCATCGAGGGACGCAGACAACTGGGCAGGGAGAATGAGGCAGCCCCTTCAGTTAGGGGAGATACAGGTTAGACTGCACTTTCCCGAAAGTACTGATGATGCATCTGGAAACAAGGAACAGGGAGATTCCTTATAGGGAGTCTGAAGAAGCAGGAGAGATTTTTTCCATCTGACCAGAGAAGTCAGGAACGGAGAACAAGCAGAAGCATGAACCGGGCAGCCTCCCGAACCTCCTAAGTCTACGCACTGGGCTTGGGGAAGGAAACTCTGCCTCTTGGAGTTCTGTAGCTGCTCTCTGCCTCCTCCCCGCAGTTCTGCTCAGACAGACCCAGGGAGCCGGGCGGCGGGAGCCCTGCCAGCAGGGAGGCCCCGTGACCTGGCTGGCAAGAAAGTGCACCCTCTGACCCCAGGAGACAGCTGCACAAGAAACCTGCAGGCTCAGCCCCAAGACGGTCTTTCAGGTCCGCCTTCGACTCCGCTCACCTGGGGCTCTGAGCCAGGACTCCCACCCAGGCTTCCACCGCCCATCTCCGACACCCTGTGCATGAGGCTCTGTGAACTGGCGCTGGGAGAACTCGAGGAGGAAGGGAGGCCAGCACCAGACACCCACTCACCTCTCTGTCTCAAGTCCCAGCAGGCCCGGCCTCACTGGCCTCCACAGGCCGGCGGAGCCAGTCTGCACCTACCTGCAGCCTCCCCTGCTGGCAGTCATGCAGCTCTCATTGCTCGCTGCCCCACAGCCAGCAGCTCAGGGAGCGAGCAAGCCACGAACACAGCTGCACATGGGCAGCCCCCACAGTCTCAGTAGAACCACCCATCAGTGGACCACCTGGGATGCCAACACAGTCTTCCTCCATGATCCTCACCAGAAATGTGAGCGGAAGGCCCTTTCCTGCCCAGTCCCTTGGGGGCCACACTGATCTCAAGGTGGGGAGAGGGGAGGCGGGGAAGGAAGGGGACTGGGGTGGAGAACATCTTTTTTCACAGGAGCTCACTTACATGGCATTAACTCCAATAACCAAATGCTTACTAAGCACCTATGTAGTACTGGGTGCTTTCAACACCAGCACCCTGAGAGCTAACCTCAGCAAAGGGGCAGCAGCTCCACCTACTGGGCCCTTCCCCACTGTGTTGCCAGGGATGGGTCCAGTATGAGGTTTTCTTCAAATAAACCCAGAACAGGGGTTTATTTATTATTATATCAAGGGGTTTATTTATTATTATATCAAGCCCAAAACAGGGCTTGATAGGCTACTGCTTCAATCAGAAGGGCCCTAGGAAGTGTCAATGGACTAAGACGGAGCTGGGTTAGCCAGCTCTCTGTGTTGGAGAGGCCTGGGGCTTCTATGTCGCCTGTGTAGCTGCTGCTTTGGAAACTTGGGTTTGTACAAGAGATCTGATTCACATGTGTTCTGCCAAGAAAAATGCTCTCCACCTCTGGAGGCTGCCACATTCTCCTTGGCACAGCTAGAAGAGATGCCACCAAGAGCCCAAGCACCCTCTGGACCTGGATGGGATGGATCATAAAGAAACAATAGTCTCTTTTCCAAGCAAGGAGCCAGGAGTCTGAGGTTCCGACAGGCACGAAAATGTCAGAGCCTTTGGCCTGTTTTCAGGACCCATGAAGCTGGAGCCGCTTAGGTTCATCAGAGGGGCAGCCAATCTTTCCCCTTAGAAGCCTTGGGCCTCAAAGACAGCCTTCAGTTTAAGAGCAGCTCTGGACCCCTAGGCTTCCCAGGTGGCACTAGCTAGCGGTAAAGAACCCACCTGCCAATGCAGGAGACGTAAGAGACGCAGGTTCAATCCCTGGGTTGGGAAGATCCCCTGGAGAAGGAAATGGCAACCTTGCCTGGGAAACCCACGGACAGAGGAGCCTGGTGGGCTACAGTCCATGGGGTCACAGACGGGACAAACTGAGCGGCTTTCAGGATCCCTAGCTTTATCCCCGTACAGAGCTAGTGCTCTGATGCCTTCTACCCTGAACTTACTCGGTAAGGATGGACCTTCCTGCTCCATTTGACCTGTATGTATCATGTGAGGACTTGTGGGTGAGTAACCTGTGTCCAGGGGCTTCCCTGGTAGCTCAGTTGGTAAAGACTCCGCCTGCAATGCAGGAGACTCCAGTTCGATTCCTGGGTCAGGAATTTTCCCTGGAGAAGGGAGAGGCTATCCACTCCAGTATTCCTGGACTTCCCTGGTGGCTCAGAAGGTAAAGAATCCACTTGCAATGTGGGAGACCTGGGTTCGATCCCTGGAGTAGGGTATGGCAACACACTATTCTTGTCTGGAGAATCCCCATGGACAGAGGAGCCTGGCAGGCTACACACAGTCCATGGAGTTGCAGAGTCAGACATGACTGAATGACTAAGCACAGCACAGCAACCTGCATCCATGAAACCCTAGTGTGGTGAACCAGAGGGTATGCAGATATGCACACACCCGTGTTTCAGCCTGAGCGGTTGGTACCATGTGCATCTATTAACCTGAGAGTCTACAGTGTGGGCAGCTTTGTGTGGGAGCGTGCTCCACCAAAAGCATTTAGGTGTGCTCCCCACCCTCCTCCCACCTCTCCCACAAGCAGGGACAAGGGAGTCAGAGCAGCAGGATCAAGCTGTGCCGTCCCAGGAACAGACTGCTGCTGGATCGGCCTGTTCCTCTGTCCAACACCCATGTGATGAGTCCTTTCCTGGCTCAGGTCTCAGCTCTCCAGATGCCTTTGTCATAAGACTATCAACATTCACTTAGCTCAGCACCTTTCCAGACTGGGAAGCGCTTCCTTCCTGAAGGCAAAAGCTGCTGGCTTCTAATCCCTTGGCTCTTCTTCCTGTTTTCCAGGGCCCCCAGATCTATATCCCACCGAGTACACCCTGACGAAACAGGCTTTCATTTTAAGCTTTGTACAGAACCTAACAGTCATGGAAATTAAGTTTTAACTTCTTTTTTTTTTAATCTTTAAAATCTACACAGAGCAGTTCCCCCTCTAGGGAGTGAGGTGTAAGCAAGCCTCCCAAAATCCTGCTCCTCCCACATTTGCTCTAAGCATGCTCAGCCCTGTCCTGACTGGTCTTGGCCTACCATCCCTGTATGGGCAGGGAGGAGAAGGGTGAGACTCTGGGAAGTCTGTGTGTCTGCTGCACACACCTGGGGCTGGGGTCTCTATTTCCAGGGTGAAGGCTTGTACCAAACCATTTAGAGCCTTGCCATCAAGAACTGGCCAGGAGGGCAGGAACACAGAGCCTGGTCTGAGTTTCAGCAATAAAGAAGTGACCCTGTGAGTTCCTGATTCCAAAGGTTTCTACCTGCAGCTGTAAAGTGTTAAAAAAAAAAAAAATCCTTCCTGGACAACTTATGCAGCCACCTGAATATCCAATAAGTGAAGAATGAATGAGGGTAACATCAGTCTATCCACTGTATAAAACACTATGCAAATAGTAAAAATATTTAATTTTTACTGTGAGCATATATTACTTTTAAAAATTTAATGATGTAACCAAATGGAAAAGAGCTAATGATTTAATAGTAAATGAAAAAAGTAGGCCATAAAAGTGTTTAATTAAACTCCAAAACACAAAAACCAACAACAGTGCCAACTTTCACAAAATGGAGGAAATAAACCAGGATGCTCTTGGTAGTTGTTCACCCCAACTCCCCTAATGTCCTAGCCTGTAAGTATATGCAAAAGTTATCTGCTGTCCTTGAATAAGTACTGGGCTTAGGGATGAACTCATTTGTTTGCCAAATTTGCTACATAGAAGATTATACTCCTTATAAAATGAAAAAAATGGAAGTATATAAAAATAAGACTGGTGTCAGGGAGTTCCATGGTGGTCCAATGATTGAAATTTGGCACTTTCATTGCCCTGGGCCTGGGTTTGATCCTAGTAGGCAAGCTGGGATCCGAGAAGCTGCACGGCTCAGCCCAAAAAAAAGACTGAATTCAATAACCCACAGTTCAGATGGGGGGAGGGGCTTTAATGTTGTTCGTATCAAATGTCAAATCTGCAAAAAAAATTATGGTTACAAACAGGAAAACCAAGTCACTTAGACCTATGGAATTTGAAGTTACTGGGAAAAGAAAATGTAAACTCTGTTCCATGTGGAATGACAAGGCTTATAACACCTCAACGTTTTCGACGACTCTCAAATTTGTAAATAGCTGGGGAGTTCACTGTTTCTTTCTTCACTTTCACCTTCCGAGTTTTATCCTACAAAAGAATAAAAAAGTTACCAGTAAATCACAGGAGAGGGCTGTGTAAAATAGAAAGTTTAATAACTAAAGCCCCTAATTCAGCCCATCTCAACATTCAAAAGAGACAAAGCCCTTCATTCTAAGGCATCCCTGACTGGATGACTCAAGTCCTCCCCCAGGCTTCCATAATGATGTTGGCTGTGCAGAAGTTCTTGTGAAAACTGAGAAGAAAGGTCCTCAAATCATTTTTTTTTTCTTTTTTGGTAGGGCTTCTCTTACGGAACCCCAGTTGAGAAAGGCAGACCAAAATGATCTGCAAAGCCAAAGAATTTGACATTTAGAGGAATGATAATAATATGAAAGGAGCATCTTATATTCCTTAGCTCTGCTATTTAACTACACAATGTTGTCTATTTTTAAATACCAGTGAATGACACGCACTGTTTTGTTAACCTGTTTAAATGTTACAGATAGCTGTTCATAAGCTATAAAGTTCACATGCCACCCGATCCTACCCTTAGCTGTTCCAAAGCACGGACTAATAAGCCCCTTATTACCTTCTTAATCAAGGAACATTTCAAGACTGTCAGAGTAACAGACACTGGCTCAAACCACTGCCCCTGAGGAGCAGACATTTTCACTGGGGTTGATTTACACACAGCTGAAATCCAGTTTCAGTTAAGACCTTTACAAGGAAAAAATAAAATGAATGCCTAAGGTTCTCTCTCCTCACCAGAAGATCTTTGCGAGTCTGAATTTTCTGTGCAATAACGAACAATTTTTTCTCACGCTCAATCCGCTGTGTCAGGCAGTCATACTGCTTCTGCCTCTCTTTCGCTATCCGCTGCAGAGAAAGCACACATTTTCAGTGAAACAATTAACAGGATAAAAATGAGTAAGAAACTGTTTTTGAGTCCACTTAGGCCCAAATGCATAAATGGTTTCATCAATTCCCTCCTTATTTCAGAATCAATGTAATAAGACACTCTGAAGTTGTCCATTTTAAAAGCACCGCATTCCAGAGGCCAATGGAACCTTGGAGACTTCCCCAGGGACACACGGTTCACCTGGAGCAGAGGCAGGACTGCGCCTCGAGACTCACAGATCCCAGGAATCTTTCCACTACTGCTCGGAGCTGCTTCACCCTTTGAGTGAGCATCCCAGTCACCTAATATGACGCAGTATAGAGAGAAGCAGAGAAGGGTCCCTGGGCAGTGACTGCAGAACTCAAGAGAGCAGAAGGACTCTGTCAGTAAAATTCTCACTGCTGATGACCCCTCACAGTCCAGCGGCCCTTCACTCTTCCATGGTGACACCATGGACAGGAACTCCCCTGCCAGTGTAGGGGACACGGGTTCAAACCCTAGTCCAGGAAGATTTCATGCACCACAGAGCAACTAAGCCCGCGCGTCCCAACTACTGAGCCGGCAAGCCCTCGCGCCCACGTTCGGGAACGAGAAAAATCACCACAATGAGAAGCCCTTGCACCACCACGAGAGCAGCCCCTGATCACTGCGACTAGAGAAAACCCCCATGCAGCAGTAAGACCCAGAGCAACCAAAAAAAAAAAGAAATGGTCCTTCAATACGAGGGAATTATGGACCTCTGAGAAAGCTTTGGATTCTTTCTTTTTTTGGAGATTCTTTCTTGACATAAATGTATATATATATATATACGTTTGTATTAAATTCATGCAAACATACATACCTAGTCACATAAAATTTTAAGGTGGGAAGAGGATGTTCACAGACTTCCTATAGCCCATTCACGGATTCCCCAAACCCTGCAAGTTACAGACTAAAAATTCCCTTATAAGCCACCACTAGCAGTCTCTTAATAAAAATAATTTTGCTTTAAATAAAAGATTTAAAACGACCACCACCACCAGACAAAAGGGCAAGACTCAAACTTTCCCAACTTCTCCAAAGGTACGCTGGTGAACTATCCTACACAGGACCAGTCTCTTTAGGACCTACTCCAACACCTGAGACGTGTCAGTAAGACAGCTAAGTGAAAACACAACTCCCGGACAAACAAAGTCAGCACCAGAACACTAGGTCAGCCAGCTCTTCAGCTGGAAGTGTTAGCTACAAAGAGGGGAGTATTACTGGGCCTGAGACTTAAATGATTCACCGATTCTAGCATAGTCTCACAGCAGTGGTTTCAGACAGCTTTTGTTTTCACTTCATTGCACAGACTGTCAAATTTATGGGATTACCCAATATAGTCAAACTAATTAGGGGTATTTATATTACTAAAGCAAGTTTAGCTGCCTCTGAGCTAGAGAAGCTGCTGTGAAATTAAACATTGGAAGCAAAGCTGATGCGGTGTAAATGATTCAAATCAAAACAGAACAGCTGTCTGCTTGAAACACATTGACAGCAGTTTTTTAAATGAATCAGTCAGAAGTGAGAGTTCAACTCCAGAAGACTTGGAGAAAAAGCATGTCTTCTACATGAACCCAGTTATACCAATGGAAAACACCATAAGGACAAACTGATACAAAATCTGGGCTACAAATGCAGAACATGAAAGACCTTTGGATATGCATAGGCACTGTTAAAGGTTTACTATCAAAGTATACCAAATCCCTTCATCTTCAGTGTCCCCCTCCCCCCTTCTCTATATTTTAAAACTGTAACCATCTGTTGCAGCATTGAAAGCACAAGCCCAGGGTCAGAGGTGGAGTCAAATGCAGACCTAGGGAATTCCATGGTGGTGCAATGGTTAGGACTCCATGCTTCGCTGTGGCCCAGATTCAATTCCTAGTCAGGGAACCAAGATCTCACAAACTTCACAGCATGGCAAAAAAAAAAAAAAGAAGAAGAAGAAAACAAATGCAGATCTAAAGACCAGAACCTATGCTCCTGACCACTATGCCACACATCCTCCAATCTTAGAAACTAAGAAAACTTCCTCCACTTCCATTCCCACCACCAAATTCTCCTCCTACTTCTCCAAGAGAATTTAGTACTTTTTCCACAAATAATCTTATGGAATGCTGGGGGAGTGGGGGTGGTGGTGGGGGGGGGAGAAAGGAACCTAGATTCCCATAAACTCAGATCTGAAGAAAAATGGAGAAACTTACCTTAAGTCGAGTTTGATTGTTAACTCCTTTCACTTTCTCCTTCTGCAAGGTCTCTATCGTGGGCCTGTTAAAGACTCTGTCAACCAGTTCTGGGGCTGTTCGCAGGTGAGTGGCAATATCAAACTGTTCAACTGAAGGTCAAGACAATCCTTAAGGTGATGTCTCTAACACCGAACAACACAGACCAACATGCCAGACTGTCCCAGAAACCTTCATACACTTCATACCTTCCTTTTTGGTGTCAAAAAAAAACACATGTTTATTCTGTTGCTTCCCCTGGAAATCCAGCAGATGGAGCTCTGCTTTTAGTCTTTCAATTTTCTGGAACACAGAATATAGTCTCATTTTATGTTGGGTTCTTCTAGGATATCACAAATGAGTTTGCAAAAGTTTAGACCATTTCACATCATTACCACCAGCCAGCAAAGAATTTGCTTCATTCTTTCAAAAGGACGGACCACTAGAATGTATCAAGCACCAACCATATGTCAGCTATGCCATCGCCAGGCACTGCACAAAACTCATTTAATCCTTACAACAATTCTATGAGATAGAAATAAGGAAACAGCCCCAGGAACTTCATTTGTCCATAATCATGGGGTTAATAAAAGGCAGAGCCCAAATTTAAACCTAAATCTGTCTCATTCTCAAACTTGACCTCTTTCTACTCTACCATGCTAAATATACCTTTAAAACATTATCATTAAAAAAAAAAATTATCATAATCAAGTGTACTTTAAGATTAGAAATGCCAGAAGGAATCAACTTATAACTTGAGATCAATGGATTTCTATTTCTCTTCTTAACCAACAAAAACATATCAGGATAAACATTTTTAGTTGTTACCTTTGCTTCTGCAACCCTTTTCATTTCTATATATTTGATATCCTGAGTTCTCATTAGCTTCAGCTGTTCTGGAGTTACTTCTTCCTTCGTCTCCTTAATAACATGAACTCCATCCTAAAAATCCAAATCGAGAAGATACAGTTCCTATTAAGAGTAAAATCATTAACAAGTTGTTGGCACAGTTCATGGCTGGACCAAAGACTACATACGACAGCCACTCAATGCACCAGGCCTCTAAGACATTTCCAACTCAGCACCTCCTGTCACCAACTCAGAACAGCTCCAGCAGTATTTGGATTGAACCTACACACTACAGAGAGAGGTCTAAGAGAAGTGTTCTCTAAATATGGCCCAATGGCTGACATGTCTATTGCACTATGACTAGCAGTCTAGACGTTCAAGTTGTATACTTTGAAAATGTAGATGATGCCAAGGAAGCAAAAAGAGTGCGCCAATGGAATGGAGCTTGATGAACATAGGATCAGAGTTGATTACTCTATAACAAAAAAACCCCACATAATCCTACACCAGGAATCTACACGGGGAGATCTACCTATGGGAGCTCATGCCGTCAAGATTACTACAACAGAGGATATGATCGAGGCTATGATGTTCAGGACTGTCATAGTGGATCATACGAAGGACGTAAAGGGGGAGGATGGGGAACTGCTCAAGACAGGGACCAGGCCTACAGAAGATAGTGACTGTCTTCTCCCTACTGTAGTTGTGGAGGATACAGATCACATCCCAGATCGTGATCATATTCACCTCACTGCTATTAAAGCAAGAAGTTGAAGACTTTCTAAAGCCAGTCCTAGAGTTAGGATATTGTCTGTGGATAACATTTTTTAAAAAGTGAACAGTGACTTTTACACCTTCTATGATGACTACTTTTGGTGGAATTGAAATGTTATTTTCATTCTGCACTCAGTGCTTTGTTCAGTGTTTTCAGAAAAGCATGTTCTGCATGTATTTTTTTACAGTCTAAATTCTGACTGCTGAGAAGTTTCTACTGTACAAAATTTCATTTAAACGGTTTTTCTACTGAATCCAGGGTATTCTTAAGATTGAAGCCTGTGTGTGAAATCCTTCCAAAGGCAAAAAGCAACAATAAAGTTTGGATTTTACTTTTCTAACATAAAAAAAGGGAAAAATAATGGGAATGGTTCCAGGCATCAAACAACTGAGATTCAGGGGCAGAAACACATGCTGCTCGTGAAAGGGCAGCTTCACCCTGGATACTGACCAGGAGCACCTGACCAACTGCAGAAGGGCTAAATAAAAGCCCAAGATCCTCTCTCTCCATCTCCTCCCTCATCCTTATTTTCCTTTTTGAGTTGGAGCTCAAAATACCAACTGATCCATTAAGCACTCACCTGGAGTTTAACCCGGGTCATTTTATAGTAGAATTCATCTGGATTTTTTTCCAGAGCCTTTTTCCGGAGAGCTCTGAGGTATTCTTGCTTTTTCCGGTAGTCACTAAAAAGCAGGTTAAACAAGTTCACAGCAAAAAAGAAGAAAAAAACCACAACAAGCAAATTTTACAAGCATCTAGTGATATATACAAAATGAAACTCAAAAGAGCCGAAGAGGTGACTAGATTCAATCCACACTCCACTGTTGCAGACCTTGTTCATCTCTCTGCGGTTTCACTCCTATCCCAGTTCTACCTGAAACTAATAACAGTCCTTTTTTCATGTAAGTTTTAGTGCCATTTATATCATTACAGGGAGAGACCCAACAAAGCACAAATTAGAACTACTCAGACAGGATTATGGGGCAAGTCTGAGCACCAAGTAACCAAATAAGTTTCAGAAACTACACGTTGTACTACAGCAACTAAAATCGTGGGCTCTGGAGCCAGACAGTCTGTGTTCAAACCCTGACTCCACCACTACTGGCTGAGTAATCGTGGATAAGTTAGTTCACCACTCTGCATCCCAATTTAATTTGGGAAATGGGTGTGATAATAGTATCCCCTCAAGATTGCTAGGTGGAATAACTGAGTATAAAAATGATAACTCTTGTAGAACACTGTCTCAGTTATTATTATTATTTGCCTGAAAAACTCTGGGACCCAGAGCAACCCACTGAATCCATCACCATCTGCTCTGGGAGCATAAAAAAGGACCTCAGCTGACATGCATGGCTAACAAATAACTATAAAATACTTTGCAAATTAAGTGCTAAAGAAAAAGAAGAATGGGGATAATTGTTTTATAAGATGTTTTCAGAGTTCATTATCACCCACGCTCAGTCCCATGAATCCATCTTTCACATCTCTTCATTCCACACCACACATGGTGATGTAAGAGGCTCAACAACTGGAATGTTAGATTTTATCTTGAACTTCAAGAAAAGAGAGAGAAAAAAAGATTCAGCTTTTGGCTCAGACACCAAGGCAGAAGCGAATCAAAGCCACCATGAGAAAACGATCTGGAACAACATAATAAAAAAAATTCACAATGCAACGACAGTTAAATAAATAATGCTCCGCCTAAACAAAGAGAGAAGTTTAGGGTCCCAGAAAAGTATCTGACAGGCTGCCAGAGCTTTTGGCCATTTTATCAATGGCAGGAAATTATCCCTTGTTGGACACTCAGGCAATTCAGCTGCAATACAGGGAGGTTGTAAGCTTTTTTGGCAGCACCTCTACTAGGAGGACTACACTCACTCTGCACGAAGCTTGTAATCTTTCTTTTTCTCCAGCAGGCCCAGATGTTTTCGAAAGCCAGGCTAGAAAACAAAAGGAAAAAAAAATGCTTAGTTTCCTCAGCAAGCACATATCCAAATCGACATGACACCTGCCAGGAACAAGAGTCTCTGGAGCGCTCGGTAAATCCCTGTCCCGGCGGCCAATGTGCCACCCTGTTCCTCCCTCCCCCGACTGGGCTCTGCCCAAGGATGAGAGGCCATGCAGGCGTCAGAGAGGTCACAAGGACGGCCATAGGAGGTTTCCTGGCCTATTAAGGACAGAGAAAGGCAACAATGACTCGGCACTAAGGGAGCAGTTGCCAGTTGTACTAAAATTACTACGGACTTAATCCAAGGGTTTATAAAATACTATGAAGGGAAAACATAGTAACAGGGAAGCAACTGTGGTTAAGAGAGCTAAATTTAGAGTCTGAAGAACTGGGTTCAAATCCAAGCTGCACCTCTTAACAATCTGTGACCTTGTGCAAGTCACTTCACTTCTCTGAGTTGCTGTTTCGTAACTATAAAGTGCTTCAGAAGATTGAAGGCAAAGGAAAAGAGGGTGGCAGAGAATGAGATGATTATAGTATCACCGACTCAAAGGACATGAACTTGAGCAAACTCCGGGAGATAGTAGAGGACAGGGAAGCCTGGCGTGCGGCAGTCCATGGGGTCGCAAAGAGTCGGACATGATTAAGCAACTGAACAACAACTCTAAAGTGAGAATAACGGGACCTACTTCTCATGATTACCCTGAGAATTAAATGAGACTTTAAAGTGGTAGCTACCTGCACATAGCAGGTGCCCAGCATATGTGTACTGTTATAATTCTAATTTTGGTACAAAGCATGAGAGAAAACCAAGAATGACAGAAAATACTTTCTCTAATAGAGAATTTGGATAGCATGGTAGGTACGAGGATTAAACCTTGGTATTATCTTTCTACAAGCTATCACTTGTTCAGCACTTAACCTATGGCAAGGTCAGTGCTAGCAACTTTTGCCTACATCATCATAACAGGCCACATTTGCTAAAAATTACTATTACATCTTAGGCGATTTTGAAAACATAAAATTAAAGGAAAGAAAAAAATCATTATAAAGAATTTGCATGTACTTTTACTTTACTTTAGTTTGTAACATCTAGGAGCTTTGACATTCCCGGAAGGTTTTTTTTAAAAAAAAAAAAAATGCCTATTCTCCTATAAGGATGAGTACATAACATGAGTAAATAAAATTTTTATCAATGTGGGGGGAAAAAAAAAAGAATCACTACTACAAAGCATCTGCTAGGCTCATTAAACACAATCTCATTTATCCCCAAACAATCATGGAAAGAAAATAAAGCAGGCACAACTGTTATCCCATTTTTCCAAAAAGGGAAGGCAGTTTAACGAACAGCTTGCCCAAGAACACAGACAGAACTAGTAAGTGGCAAAGCTAGAACTAGACCCATTCTATCTAGGGCCACAGTCTGCTCTTCCCCACTCTCCTACACTGCATCCTCTTCCACCCTGAATGATCTTGATCTTTGAGGAAGTACATAAACTCACTGTTCAAACTTCTATAATAACTTGGACGGGATTTTTAAGTCTGCTTTCTCATCCTCTATCCCTGAAGTGTTGCAAGAAATAACTCAGTATTTAAAATAATACCCAAGCCCTCTCATGATCATTATTTTAATTACAGCAAAGGGAGGCTGACAGAGAGTAGAGAGAGAAAACCCAAGCATCAAAAGAGCAACAAAGTAAGGCAGAGATCTTGGAATCTGTCATGTCCACTTGAATGTACATCTGTGTTACAGGAGGAAGCATGGCACTGAATCTGAAATAGTTCACATAATTACCCCCTCCATACCAACTATCTTCCAGTGCTCCCCCACTGAAGCAGTGAGGACCGACAGGAAAGGATCCAAACTTTACCCAAACAGGGACTGCTCTCAATGTGTTTACCGCCTTTTCCAGTATGGCCTTCTCACCTCTCCCACAAAGACCCTCTACTCCCACTCACACATGGCCTCTGTCTTCTCTGTGAATCTAAATCAACTACTCAAAATTGTGCCTTTGGTCACACTAGTCAGGCTCTTTAAGCATCAGATTCCTCATTTGTAAAATGAGGATAACATCCTCCTCACAGGGATGTAGTAGGATTACATGAGATAATCCTTATACAGCACGTTAGGCTGGACCTAGCATATGGTCAGTGCTCAAAGAGACAGCTATTATAATTGCCTTCCAAGTCCAACAGATCTCATAGTGATGCTTTCTCTCATCATCTCTCCTCTTCCCACTCATGTTTCTTATTGGGAATTTTTGCTTTTCCTTTTTTTAAGAATTTTTTTTCCCCTTTTTTTTCCTCCCCCTCTCATTGGGCATTTTTTACACATCTCTTACAAAGCTGCTTCTTTGTTCAACCTTTGGTAGCTTTTGAATTCAGAGATCTGATCCCAGACTTTGTCAACTGCCAGCTATAGATGTATGTCTTGGGGCAAATTATTTAACCTATATGAGCCTTAGCTTCTTCATCTGCAAATGTAACATAACAGTAGTGCCTACTTTCACACACCACTGACAGCTAAATGAGATAACAGAGTAAAGCATTCTGCACTTTGTCTGGTTCTGGCACACAATAAGCACTTCTAGCTGTTATTACTTTTAGATAGATATATGTAGATCTATCTATCTATCTATCATATCTATCTTGTTTGTAGGTCCAAACAAGGTGGCAAATTACACTAGTCCCAACAGACCACTGAGCACACAGCAAGTGCACAATAAATGTCTAATAAATGCTATTAAGCCGGAAGACTAAACTGTGGTTGGGAGGCCTTAGTTCCATCCCATCCCATCAGTGACACAACTTTAGATACATCCTTCTCTCTTTCCCATCTGTAAAATGAAGTTGGACCAGACATCCCTAAGGGCCTTTCTGGATCGGATATTGTGTGATTCCTGATTAAATGAATTCCCACTCAAGTTCCCCACACAGAGACAACCCCCACAAAAGTCCTACAACTGTTTACCTGGCCTGAATTTGGTGTTTGTGACCAGGAAAGCCAACTCTGTTCTTTGAACCTCATTTTCCCCACCTACATAACGCGCTATCAAGAAAGCTGAACACCAAAGAATTGATGCTTTTGAACTGTGGTGTTGGAGAAGACTCTTGAGAGTCAGTTGGACAGTAAGAGGTCCAACCAGTCCATCCTAAAGGAAATCAGTCCTGAGTATTCATTGAAAGGACTGATGGTGAAGCTGAAACTCCAATACTCTGGCCACCTGATGCGAAGAACTGACTCATTTGAAAAGACCCTGACACTGGGAAAGATTGAAGGCAGAAGGAGAAGGGGACGACAGAAGATGAGATGGTTGGATGGCATCACGGACTCAATGGACATGTGTTTGAGTAAACTCCGGGAATGCACAGGTAGGCCTGGCCTGCTGTAGTCCATGGGGTCAAAAGAGCCGGACACGACTGAGCGACTGAACTGATAAAATGGGCTTGGAAAACATGAACGTTAAGGGGAAGACATAACAAAAAGCGTTATGAAGCAGATCTTCAGGGACCCCAAAACTCAGGCATGATAATGATACTGCATTAGTAACATCAATCTCTTCGGGCTCAGCCGACAGACGCAGTGGACAGAGCTGAGCATCTTTAAATGCGGATTCCAGTTTCAGTCAGGACACTTAATGGCTGTGTGAACTTTGACCTCAACTTCCCGTAAGAATATCAAACACTTTACACACAGTATCTTATTTAACCACCTCACCGAAACCTATAAAGATAGCTTTATCTCCCAGGAATAAGGACAGCCGTTCTTTTCCTAGAGACCATCCCCTCCTCCCCAACGGCGAGGCTCCGCCGCAGCCACGCCGGCGTCGCTAGCATATATTTACATGTATTTACTTATACCATTCCCCTCACGGAAAAGGACAAGATCCGCAGGTGGTGGGGTGGGGAGGGCTGGGGCGAGAATAGCACATGGGCCCACCAGCCAGCGCTCAGTGGGGCCTGTGGGACCCTACCTGGCTTCGCTCACGGTGTTCCCGCTGCCGGGACTTAGCCGCCTTCCGAAATGCCGCCGCCATGTCTGCTCACTCCTGGAAAAGCTCTCTACAACAACGCCGGTTTCGCACCGCTTCAGCCGCCGGACCACCGATCCTACCGGAAATAAGCCAAGACACCCGCGACTTAGAACCGCCCACTTCCTCCCCGCAGCCTATCCAGCGCCTGTCTTTCCGGAAATACGTCATCTAGTAAAGGCGTCCACCACAGGCTACTTCTGGGAAGTGTAGTTCTCTAGGTCTAGTCTCGTGACTCTACAACCTCCCGTTCTTATTCGCCAGAGCTTGTCCACGTGTACCGAAACCTCGCCTTCGCGCTCGGCTCCGCGTTGGCACCTGGGAACACGTGGCTGGCACAGCCTCGGGCTGAATTAGGCCTGGAGAGTGCGCATGCGTGGTCTCCTACAGCTCTGCTCCACTTGCTGTATTTAAGCGGTACGTTTAAAGCTAGGAGCCTTGTGAATTTCCCGGTGTATCGGGAAGACCGCTCTAAAGAGAGACAAGCGTCCTTAAAACCACCTGTTGCTCTGCCACTTGTTGGCTACATAACTTCGGACAGGTTACTCTGATACTGACGAGGGTTCTTGGCCTTCCCCAATTCAACAGAAATTGACTAGAGGTATGGATGTGAGAGTTGGATCATAAAGAAGGCGGAGCGCTGAAGAATTGATGCTTTTAAACTGTAGTGTTGGAGAAGACTCTTGAGAGTCCCTTGGACTGCAAGGAGATCAGACCAGTCAATTCTAAAGGAAATCAATCCTCAATATTCATTGGAAGGATTGATGCCGGGGAGTTGGTGATGGACAGTGAAGCCTGGAGTGCTGCAGTCCATGCGTTTGCAAAGAGTCAGACAGGACCAAGCGACTGAGCTGAACTGATGCTGAAGCTGAGGCTCCAGTACTTTGGCCACCTAATGTGAAGAGCGGACTCATTAGAAAAGACCCTGATACTGGGAAAGATTGAAGGCGGGAGGAGAAGGGAATGACAGAAGACAAAATGGTTGGATGGCATCACCTACTGGACATGAGTTTTAGCCAGCTCCTGGAGACGTTGAAGGACAGGGAAGCCTGGCATGCTGCAGCCCATGGGGTCACAAAGAGTTAGAACGACTGAACAACAAGAAGCTAGACAAGAAATTCAGGGAGGACTTTACCGCGGCCCCTGTCGCTCCAAGTGGAAGCAAAAAAAAAGTAACAGGTTCCTTTTCTGGGGAAGAGCTGGGAGGGGAGGCTGGTGCCTTATTTGGGGTGAGGGCAAGGTGTGTCCAGGGTTCAGGCCAGAGGAGTGGCTTAGGTGTGTTCTGCCCACCCCTTTATGGTGTTGTGTGCAGGGGGCTACTCTGCCTTCTTAGCTCTCAACACCCGATTTTTGCTGCTGCAACCCAGGAAGGGACAGTTGGATTTTTTGGTCTTTTTATATCTTTTGGTCCAGAATTTGCCCCAACTACACACACACCCACACACACACACACACACACACACACAGAGTTATTTGACTTTAATGGCATCATTTTTCTCATGCATAAGCCAAGGATAATAATAGCATGCACTGCTTGCCTCATAGGGCTGTCAAAGGGCTCATAGTTTAACAGAGGAGTCATATTATGGCACTAGTTACAAAGTTCTAAGTCCCTCACACCCTCAAGGTGTGGCTGAAAGAATCTCAGAGGCAGTACAATGTAATGATTGGGACCATAAACCACGGAGGTGTGTTCTGATCCTGTTACCAGTCAAGACACAGTTAGCTTCATTGAACCTCAGTCTTCCATCCTTGAAATGGAGGTAATAATACTATATCTACAGGATTGTTATGAGGTTTAAATGAAATAATATGTTTAAAGTCCTTAATATTGTGTTCACTCATTGGCAAATTTACAGTCAATTGGAGCTATTATTGTTATAACTAAACGTACTTGTAAGAATAGAGAAAAGGTTGGGCACAGTAGGACATTCCAAAGGCATTTGGCTTCTTTTCCACCACATAAAGCTAACCTTCAGTGAGTTCTGTAATTGCACCTATTTTCATGATAGGGCTAACCCCTCCAGCTGTGAGCTCTGGAGAAAACCTCTGCTCAGTCCCCAGAAGTGTGAACCCAGTAAGCCAGTGAGCATGTAAAAGCTGAAAGTAGCTGAGATCTGCTGTGTGAAAAATTTTTTCCTGCCTCTGAGTCTGAGCCTTGCCACACTAAGGCCACCCGCGTTAACAAAATTCAATCTCAGTTGTTATTCATTGGTGACCATCGAAAGACAAGGACCTTCATGATCTGGCCTGAAGGAGCCTCACCTCAGTTAAGAAGCCCAGCTGTCAGGGAGAGTGACCAGGTGGCAGCCCCTTTCCCTGAAGAAGGCACTTAGTGGCAGAGACGTTCAGGAGAAGGCAGCTCTGCACACTCGATTTGAATTGCACATCCACAACCTATCAGCTTGTGATCTGGGGCCACCTTGTCAAACTTTCTGAGCCCTGTGTACTACTCTGTAAAATAGTGATAACAATAATAACCACCTCATATGGCTTTGGTGGGGCTTCCCAGGTGGCACTAGTGGTAAAGAACCTGCCTGCCAACCCAGGAGACATGAGACATGGGTTCTATCCCTGGGTCGGGAAGATCCCCTGGAGGGCATGACCACCCACTCCAGTATTCTTGCCTGGAGAATCCCATGGACAGATGAGCCTGGTGGGCTACAATTCATAGGGTTGCAAAGAGTCAGACACAATCAAAGCGACTTGGCATGCACGCAGGCATGGCTTTTGTGAGAACCAAAGGAAGTAACACTGGCACTTAGCATGGTACCCTGCATATATTTGTCATTTAAGCGTTGGTTAGTTCTCCCTGTGCTCTGTAGAAGTCAGTCATTTCACCCTCTGCACCCACAGACCCATTGCAAGGCTTGGGGTCATGAGGAAGGTGTTTCTGGGCAATCTGAAAGAGGGTATCTGCTCAGATAAGAGGCCTGCAGGGGCTGCAGGCAGTCCAGCGGGCAAGAATGAGCAATACAGCAGAGAAAGAAGGGCGTTTTCTCACTAGGGGGGAGGAGGGCTTGTGGTTACAAGCATCAGAGAATGATTCAGCAGCCAGAGGAAACCATGAGAGGCCTGCCAGTCACCAGGCACCCAGGGCCTCCTTTTGTAAACTCTTTCAAGGTGAGAGAACAGCTGGGAGACACTGAATAAGCCGCCCTTCACCCCAGAATAAGGAAGGTGGGGACCTCTAGAGTTGGGGGGAGGGACAACCAGATCCCACTCACCCAAGGCCAGTTGGCGTGGCCAGCGTTCAGGCTCTGCTTCCAGCCCCAGCTCAGACACACCTGTTCCCTGGAGGAGGGGTGGGGGATGGGGAAGACTGATAGGGAACAGGAACAGGGAGTCCACGAGGCTGATCCCTAGACCTCCCTGGGGCATATCCACCTGTGTCAAGGGAAATTAGAGCAAGCAGGGAAATGTGAGCCTGCTGGCAATGGAGAGGGGAAAGGATACAGGCCTGCTCTACACCAGTCTCCCTCCCTTAGGCTGGGCCAGGTCAAAAATCTCCTAACTTTCCAGGGCTTCCAGATTCCAAGAATCAGAATCTTGCCACTTGACGAGGAAAGAGAGTGTTGGGGGAACTGGGGGGTGACTGGGGTGGGCAGGGGGTTGAGGGAGTGTCCCCCATGTTGAATAACTGCTGTGTGTTCTCACTCATTCCTCACAAATATGTGATGAGACTGGGAGTCCACCACTCTGAACAGATGAGAGTTGGAGGGTTCAAGAGGTTAAATGACTACAGAGGCTATAGAGCCTAATGATTAAGCTAGCTCCCTTTGTTTGGCTGGGTTTTTTTTTTTTTGTTTTTGGTTTTTTTTGGCATAAAGAGCTTTGACATTTGATTGTCTGGCTTTGAATCCAGGCTTTGCTGTTATTAGCTGTGTTACCCTTGGCAGGTTACTTACTCTCTCTGTGCCTCCATGTTCTCATCCTTAAATTAAGGATAAAATTACATATTTCACAAAGCTGTTGGATAGTCAAGTGCACTAATATATGTAAAATGCTTAGGCGGGGACTGGTGCACAGTAAGAACTGAGAAAATACTGACTCTTATTCAGACTGCTCATCAGAGATTTAAACTGAGTAAAACCAGAGACCCCAAATCACTTTGCTGTACAGCAAAAATTAATGCAACATTGTAAATCATTTATTGTTGTTCAGTAGCTCAGTCAAGTCCGACTCTTTGACTCTTTGCAACCCCATGGACTGCAGCATGCCAGGCCCCCTGTCCTTCACTATCCCCCGAAGTTTGCTCAAACTCGTGTCCATCGAGTCAATGATGCCATCCAACCATCTCATCCTCTGTCATCCCCTTCTCCTCCTGGCTTCAATCTTTCCCAGCATCAGGGTCTTTTCTAATGAGTCAGTTCTTCGCATCAGGTGGCCAAACTATTGGAGCTTCCGCATCAGTCCTTCCAAAGAATATTCAGGACTGATTTCTTTTAGGGTTGACTAGTTTGATCTCCTTGCAGTCCAAGTGAATCTCAAGAGTCTTCTCCAACACCATGATTCAAAAGCATCAATTCTTCAGCGCTCAGCCTTCTTTATGGTCCAACTTCAATTAAAAAGAAAAAAGACCCACAACGCTACCTTTGATCCAGCACCTTCCTTACTCACTCATAACCACTTCATTTCTGAAGCCTGCTCACTTTTACCTTCCCCTCAACCCAGAGCAAACCCCTTTTTACCATCTCCTCCAACCAGGCAGTCTTCCCTCTATTCACCAGGGCTGAGTCTCGTATACCTGCAAGGCAAATTCCAAAGTCTGGACTGGCTACTCCCTCCCTGGACTCCAGGTAGTACGTGCCTGTAGACCAATCTGCATCTTGGGGGGGTCCAAACAGAGGCAGTGTCTGTGATTCATTCATTCCTCAGATATTTGTTGAGTGCTCAACATTGGAGTAGATAACTGGGAATGCTGCGGTGAACCAGAATAATGCAGTCCCTGCGCACAGAGTAGGTGTCAGAACAACAATAATTAACAAGCCATTAGTTAATCTTGA